CCTTAACACTGCTCAAAAAGCACCGATCTACTCCATTTGATACGCTTCTGATGCCCCCACACGAAACATACGGTTTGTACATCAATAAATATTCATTTCGAGTGGAATATTAAGTGTGCAATAAAGCTTGACTGTTACGAATTACCTGATCGTTTATGATACATTGTAACGCTACAGTAAAACTATATCAAATATTTATGTAGGTACTCCTACAAAAGCTTAAAATAAGCAAAGATTTATATTAGAAAATTTGATTGAAATCAACATTTACTTAACGTTTCATGAGCGGGACCTTGTTAAACATTTGCAGAAAATACACGTAGCAAGGTTCATTTCAATTCGTTACGAACCATTTAAATTCTCTTTTTAACACAAAAGGACTTCAAAAAGGTAAGCTCGTCGTCGAATCAAAATCTAGCGCGCGAACCGTTAAATTAAAAATAAATATTGCGAAACGTCAGCATGTTACGGGTTGGGTTCTGAAATATATCCAGGGAAAAATCGAAAAACGTTAGGATGGCCGATGTCGGTTCACAGGGGTGGTTTGGGGTAAGGTGAATCTTTTTGTGAAGTGGAGAGAATTAATTTAACCCGCTGCGGGGTAACACGACATGGCGGTAATTGAAAAGTTTGCCCCTTGTAGCAGCCGACGCCGAAGGCGACGCGTCTTCACGACACTCAGGTTTTATAAAAGGCTTTTATTATAATTGATATTTTCGAATAAGTAGCTCTAATTTTTAAATACTGTTTAATTAATATTAAATTAATTGTAAGTAAGCAGTATTTGTGAGAACGTAGCAGTTATGAATTTCAATGAAGTATGATTGTTGAACATTTCATGAATTATTGCAATGATAGCCAGTTCACGATAAAGTGTTGAAAATTTATGATCGTGGAATGAATAGTAAATATTATTCCACTACATTATCGAATGTGAAAGAATATTAAAAAAGGAATAAATAAATAATTTTAAGATTGTTGGAATTTTCTATTGATGATAACTGATTAACTTTGAGAAAGGTTGTTCAATAAAAGCTTTCGATATCAACAATCCTTTAACTTTTTCATCGAGTATCAGAAGTACTCGTAACTTGAAGAAGCGAACGCCTGGCTTGCTCGCCCCTGAACGATTTTAAATTAATTTTATAAAGTTAAATTGGGGATTATGTTTATTTGATCACTTGACGGAGACTCTGACACTGTATTTTGTTTTCGATAAAACCTAAGCAATTTGTTATCTTAAAAAAGAATTTACTATAATTTTTATTCATCAAACCTTCATACCATGATTAAGAGGTATAACCAATGTAACTTCTAACACATTGAAGGAGGTTAAAAATAAAAGTAATCACTAACCGTAGTAAATATCAAAAATCAAAAACTATAAATAAAGAAATATACACGTCAGCAAAACGACATCAATACAAGGTTTGTGTATTTAATGATTTTACACCCACATCGTACCGGATTTGCGTATACATGTCTATTCGAGGACACAAAGGTAGCCGGGTGTGTTGACGCAATGGCTAACATCGATTCGGTCTGTTTGCCAACGATATTGAAGTTAGCTGATTGGCTCCCTGGCTGGTGGACTTGGCAAACTTAATGATTTACTTTTCACAGGAACGTGACCTTTTTGTATTAGCCATTCTGAAATTTTGATGGATTTGTGTATCACGTTTCCGTTACCTACACTTATTTTTGGAAAGTAGGTCACGGTTTATTAGTGGCTTTGATGACATTTTTTTATATACATTCTTTAAATTGAAAATATTGCTATTGATTGTTTACAATATTCCTGGTTGCGATACATAGTAATTAGGATTTGACTGACTGTAAAATACTATCTGCTTTCAAATGTAACATTCTATGTTTCCATGGACATAATACCTATACCTACAACGAATATAATACCTATACTTTATGAAAAAGGTTGATATATCATAATGTACATTCAAGATGTGTGTGATAAATAGTTTTATTTAAGAAAACTGTAAATAATATTTCTTTGCATTAAACATGGTTCATTAAACGTAAAACAAGATCCAGCTCAACACATTGTGTGAGCTGTGAACTGAAAGCCACGCAGGCACGCTGCTCCTGACTGATTAATGGAATTAATTCATTATTCTGTGGTTGCGGCCGGGAAGCGACGCAGTCGAACTCGAAACGAATGAATTCATAATGCCTTGTCTGCGATTGTTCACGGTTTCAAGTCGGTATTTGCGATAAACATGCCATCAACTATTTCTCCTTTTTAGTTCTTTTTTGGAATTAGTAGTGGGTTAGGATACAATCACATTCAACTATTAATTAGGGACTAAACCGAGATTAACGTTAGTTGTTAATGTAGAATCGCTATCTGATATAGACTCCAGGGTTCACTCTTTTAGAATATTTTTGATTGTCTAATAACACACATGTTTTTTTTTATTGCTAGGCATCGAGCATACGGATCACCTGATGGTAAGCGAACAGCGCCGCTCATGGAAACCCACAACACCAGAGGAGTCACAGGTGCGTTGCCGGCCATTGTGCACACACGTGGTCACTGAACAGATTATTATATTTATATTGGTTTTTGGGGCCTATTTTAATTCGTGATAAATAGGAATCAACCAAATGCAAGCCTGCAGTCACGTTTTGGAAGGATTTATAGTAGTACCTACACCGATTGTGGAATAAGTGGTATCTATGATACCACAGTACAAATTCTTGAATGTCTTGTGGCACCATTACTTTTATGAGTATTTTGTTACTGTGTTATGTTCCTACCGTAAGCATGTCAATTTCGTAGGGAAAAACAAAATTAAAAAATGTTTGACCATTACAAAGCAACTCGTAGCACAGTGCTACGGCTGCGTAGTCTTCATTTTGTAGCTCGTAGCATAAATTTTATTCAGTCCTTGCTTTTATCTAGATATTTTATTTAACTAGGTGAAGCATAAAGTGGTTAATTAGGTGACGAGCTATAGAGCTGAGTATCAGGTATGTTCGTATGTACTTAGATACGGCGGGTAAGTTTCGTGAGGGCGTATAATTACGCGAGCGAGTAAACATATAAAGGTAATCCGGGCCGCGGCGGCACAAAGTGATGCTCGTGAATAAATTAGCGACAGAGCACCTGCGGTACCACCGCACTCCCACTGCTACCTACTACAGGGCTATCTACTCCAACTGATTCGTTTTTTTAATATTTGTAAAATAAAGTATGTATAGTCTAACATTTTTCGTAAGTTGCCGTAAATTATATTATGCTTGTATGATCTGTATAGTCTTTCCATAAATTACTAGCGCTTTTTGAAGTTATTCATTTGGAAAAGTGAATGATTTTTTTTTTTAAAACGTTGCCTCTCTCTCGGATTATCTCCTGTGTCGTGGGTGCGTTTACAAACATACAAGTTCACATACACATGACACCCAGACCAGAAACAACAATTTGTGGATCACACAAAGTGTTGTTCCGTGCGGGAATCGAACCCGCGACACGTTGCACGGCAGCCGGTTGCCCAGCCACCGCACCAACCGTGCAGTCAAATATTCATGTAATAGTCCCAAAAAGATAAACAAAGTCATATGCAGTTGTAAATTAGCATCGATCGAATATATCTACTTAATCGAAACGTCATGTAAAATGGAGCTGAGTACATGACCTGTTATAGGAAAATGAGGCTAATTGTGGTGGACCAGATTTGAGTTTCGACAACCCTAAATCAGATTAGATGTATATCTATTTGTATATAAAGTAGGTACGTTCTAAAATGCTTCGTCACATGGCGAGAGGAGCCCGACTTGCGGGCGATATGGGACTCTATGAATATTCAATTTATTCACAAGATTTTACTTATAGAGAATTTAGATTAAGATCGAGTCATATATTATAAAGTAAACCAAAATATATTATCGTGGAATTAGAAACAGAATATGAATAAGTTAACAGGTTAATGATATTGGAGGACAAAACAATGTACGGTACTTCAGATATATTGTAGTGTCATAATCATAAAAAAAGAAGGAATGGTACCATGAAGGCTGGACACGGTCGCATTTGATGGTGTGTGTGTATGTTATGAGTTTATTATAAAATATGTCTCTTTTTAAACAGTGCATCTGTTAAATAATACTGACGTAGATATGATAATTTTTGTATTAAGTACTACAGCCCGTTAATTACAGTATTCATTATTTTTGAACTTTCAGCCATTGAGATGTTATATGATTAATGATAATATACGTAATTATAGTTGTTGCTAAAGTAGTAAGTAAAAACATACTTATGTACAGGTACAACACATACATTTACAATAACAGAAACCCATTAAAATACGCCATAAATAAAGAGGACAAAGGCTGACATCGCAACACCCGCCACAATATTGGGTTCATAGAGGTGACGTAATGACAGATAGGATCCGAAACTGCTGTGGAAATTGAACTGGCCGCCGGCAAACGCTATATTTCACTCAATATTTGAGCGAATGGACAGAGGACAAAACAACCTGCTGTGAGCCTGATGGACGGTATGCCACGTTATGTGCTGAATGATAGCGCGGATCTACGATAGCAAATAACATTCGGCCATTGTCGGTCTAACTATTGTTACGAGTTCACCGCAGTTCACACTAACAGTATGTTTCGATTTGCTTATAGTATATTGATCGGTTTTAAGCTCTTTACTTTCTGAACGCATTTTTCTTTTTACGCTCAATGCTACATGTGCTTATTGGAAAAGATGTTAGATACTGCTGTTGACGAACAGATTGACGAATAAAAACTTCTCAAAATAACCCAAGCCGTACTTAGTTTTCATGTACGCATTCGTAGATATTTTGTTTGATTTGAATTTTGCGATAAGAAACTATGACAAAAACGACTTTGAGTAGACATAATATCTAAAAAATGTCGTTAAGTATTATTTATTCAAGTCATGATGACTTTTGAACAAATATGTGAATCAATTATTAAACTGATAAGTTGCGTCATACAGAGATTTCACTTACCATCTTTGTTCATATTAGCTTGGAAGCACTTGGCGAGGCGACAGGCGCGGCACTGGTTCCTATGTGTCTTGTCAACTGGGCAGCGGCCCTTCATCTCACCCCCAGCCTTGCAAGTATACACCCGATTACGGTGGATGGACCGTTTGAAGAACCCAGAACAACCTACAAATAAATTTAAAGTTAGATATGTAGCTTAATGTTTTTTATATTGGAGACATCGCGTCTAATTCTTAATTACTTCTAAATTCGCAATCGAAACTAATGCTAAAGACCAGCGACACAATGAAGCATAAATCAATGCAAGCCAACTATCTTAGTTTTCGTTGTAAATCAGAAGATATCATTGGAGGAATAGAGAACAAATACTGAGTTTCCACGCCACTAGGTACTTAGTTTTCCACTGATGGTTATTCTGTGCATTAAGTTAAATAAATTTATGAAGATCCTCCGCTAAGTTATTCAAAATTACGCTTCTTAATAATCACTAAAGGCTCGTAACAGCTTCTTTGCACTGGTACTATTCAAGTTTTCATTGTATTTTTCTATCACACTAGCCTTATTCATTTTAGTATGAGAACACTAAACTGAAAAGATTTCCACATTAGATGCAAAGTTATTCACAATACTTACAACTTTAGAACAAATCAATAATTGCTAGATTGATGGATGTTTCTGTTTAAAATACACGCCTGTTGTTGTTAACTTACAAATTTTGGTTGCTTTTGTTTTACAACACTAATTTTGAGAGATAATATCTCAATAAATCCTTTTTAGCTCCTAACCAACCTACGCTAGTGTAAAACTAGTAAGAAAAATAGGCACCAGATACCATTTGAAATCTTTTTTTTTTAAATATTTTTCTTTTCATTGTTATCCGACATCTATTGGCATCCGACATTTTTTTGCAAAAATCGCCAGTTTTTCAAAAAAAATTAATGAAACATGAAATAATATTTTTATAAATGTGATTTTCTGAATTATTATGATTTTCTATTTATATTTATCATTTAACGCAACTTAATTATAATTTGGTTTATAAACCAAAGTAATAAAGTATTAGCCATTTTGGATGAAAAAATATTTTGGACGCCATTTGTGACGAAAGAAAAAAAAGTGGTTAATGGCATCCTGCAAATGCTTTCGTGGCCAGTTTTAGCTTATTGATAAGGCATAATCAAAAAGGTTTATCTAACACCTATGGGTTTTTTGATGTCATAAATTGTCATTATAACAATTACTTACATTTAAATAATTAGTATTAAAAAACTTTGATTATACAATGTCTAAATACAGAGCGTCACCATACAATAGCAACAAAAATGACGTTCCAAAATTTCTTGCATGTGTCCGTGTGGCTTGTGTTTTACACGGAGCAAAAATGATACTACGATAAAAATTCACCCATCAATTTTATGTCTCCCATAAATATTCGGTAACCATCTCTTTAAATTCGATTTGATTTTTTTTTATTGGACTCTTTGTTGATATTTATATTTTGTCTTATAAGGAATTTATTTTCCGTATGAAAAGAATAATGAAATATTCATATTAAGACATTTTTTACATTATTTGTATAAAACCAATTTATAAAATATTATTGCAGTTGCACCCTTTCCATCAAAACATATAACTTCGATCGATTACAATTTAAAAAAGAAGGATCGAAACCAAGCTTCTTTTTTAACTCGGTTAGAATAAATAGTATGTACATTACTGTCAAACACCGCGAGGACACCGGTGACCGCAACCTATTGTTCTTTAATTGTGTCTATAATGACGGAACTCAAAGGGTTAAAGCGTAGGTAAGTGTTAGTTCAATAAATAACAAAAATATTATTTTATTTTTAATTTAAATTGAGCAATTGAGCTTTTTTTGTAAATTTTTATCTCTTTATGAAACGCGTGTGAAGGGAATATTAAAAAATTAATTGGCCACACTGATAAAATATGGCGGCAATTAGTTAGGTCAAACACATAAATTTAATAATGTAATTTATATTTACTTAGCGATAGATAAGTGATATGTTAAGTACTTTTTAACCGTCATTTATAATTTTAGCACAATTTCATGGAGCAAGTCGTTATATTCTTTGAAGTGTACTTTTTTTGTTTACAATTATTTATTGACACAATTGGTACTACTTGGCGGGAAAATGCATTGCAGTGAACAGTTCACTGCAAATTTTTGGACCGATTTTCGTGAACTGACACTCCATCTAGACATTATCTGATCAAAGACTTTTGTATATGTATGATAATAGTTGGGAGTATTTTTGTCATTTTTTAAAATGCAATTACATAACTTCATTTATCTATGTACCTAAGTGCGTTTTGGCTAATCTAGATTTGTATACGCAATCTAGACCTAAAATTATATCTTCACGATTTGGTGAACGTGATTATTGCGTAGTAATAATAATATTATGTGCAGATTAAAACATCGATTAAAAGATAAAATAATACAAAACATACATTTTAGGTATGTACGTGTATAATGTGGCGGATAGACCTAGTTATAGGCAGAATAATTTAATGCCACATGAACACTTCAAGGTAAGTATAAGTAGTTACATAAGTTAGGTATTAAAATAAAATATGGACATTACATAATGATACATACAACGAATAATTCGTAGAAATTATATTTAATTTTGTAGGCAATTTATTGTAAGGTTTGTATCTCTTTTACTATTGGTCATATTTAATCTGTATTATAATAGTATTATAGCTTTATGATTGAATCATTGATTCGTTGTTTCCCGCGTAAATAATGTCCTTATGGAATTGTATATAGGTTATTCAAAATGGATTTTTTATTTGGCTACAAGATAAACTACTTATATTAAATCAAATTTCTGATTTCATATTGTTGAGCTACCTAAATTATCAATTTATCTACTAGTTTCATCATTGTTCTTTTAAAACATGAGTAATATTTATAATAAGTAGAATCCGTAGAATGTATGTCAAAACAAGGAAAAATAGACTAGAGAAGGGATTAGAAGATAATAATATGTCATAAAAATAACATGTCCACTCATCATTTTCCAAAAAAAAAATACTAATTATTTATTTATCCTTTAATCAGTTTATTATCAAGTTATCTGTATAATCTGCAATTAATGTCTGTAATTGTGTAATTGGAAGATAAATAAATGTACACATGTCGTGTAGTAAACACCAAACCAACTTTGATTATATGTCTAGATGGAATGTCAGTTCACGAAAAGCGTAACAAAAATTTGCAGTGAACTGTTCACTGCAATGCACTTTCACGTCAAGTAGTACCAATTGTGTCACCTAGACATCACTACGTGCAAGCACACTAGACACTTCAGTATTAAAAAAGGTCAAAATCATGCTGCTTGCACACTTAAATTCCTTAATTGCACACACAATAAAAGAGTTTTGCCTATAATTGGTAGAGGAGGATCTCTACTGCAAAACTCGTTTTTAGCGGTGGAAACCATGTTCTCGAGCTTCCGGGAACATTTATAAATTGGTTTTGTAGAAACAATGTTAAAAATGTCTTAATATAAATATTTCATAATTGTTTTCATATACAAAATAAATTAATGACAAAATATAACATCAACGCAGTGTCCAATAAAAAAATCAAATCAAATTGAAGGAGATGGTTACAATTTTTTTACTTTATTTCTAAATGGTCCATTACATGTACTCTAATATTTATAGGAGATTTGATGGGAGAATTTGATGGCAGAATTTTTGTCGTAGCTGGTATCATTTTGGGCCCGTGTAAACCACAAGCCGTACGCACACATGCAAGAAACTTTGACACGTCATTTTTGTTGCTATTGTATGGTGACGCTCTATCCAGACATATTCATATTCATAATCTAAGCAAAGAAATGGGTTTCTTACCGTCGCAGCTGTAGATGCCGTAATGCTTGCCAGAGCTCCTATCCCCGCAGACATTGCAAGGAATGTCAAGTAGACGATCACCTAGAACCAATTTAGGTACTAATTACAAACACGAATAATGAATATTTCACACAAAATTATGTATAGTGAATAGTGTGTACAATAGGGTTATCTACCCCGATTTCATCCTACTGGCAAATATTATAATGGTTCATTTGTATCAATAACGAACACAATATAAACAGAATTATATCTTTAATTTGGTGTAGGTAATTCATAGTTTAGGTAAGTTTATTAAGTTTTCAGTAACTAGATTTAAGCACACAACACGTAAATCTGATAGTTCGCATAAGCATTATTCACATAGGTAAACCTGAACCCACGAAGCTAGGTAATGAGAGAAGTGTTTATTTATGAACTGATACTTCTCCGACACCTCGGAGCTCCCCTTTCCCAAAATAGATTAGTCAGATTACACCAATCTCGCTAATAACGTTGGTGTTTTTGTTCCGTTTACAGAAGCATTTCCTCCCGTCCCCTTTTCCTTAACGCTTCTAAAGCCTACTGTCACACCGAACAGAAAAACTATCCTTTCTTTGAAAAGTGAGAGAATTCGTATAATATTTAGCTGAGGTAGTTAAATCTTTCGCAATGTTAATATTAGTTTATAGAGTATGTTAAACACACTATTTGCTAGTTTCATAATAATAAAAACATTTTATTGTCATGGAATATAAAGTTTATTGGCTAAACAGTATAGAACACACTATTTGCTAGTAGGCATATAGGCCTATAGGCCTTAAACCTTTTAGCCAATAAACCTTATATTCCATGACAATAAAATGTTTTTATTATTATGAATCTTACCTATTCATTTAGGATTAAATAGGTAGTCGACCTATCAAGGAAATGCTGTTAATAAATATTAATTTCCAAATGTAGTTATGATACTAAAAGAAAACGTCATTTATAAATAAGTATACGACGAAAACATTAGAAAGAAAGAAAGAAAGAAAGAAAGAAAAACCATTTATTTTGCTACGACACACAACAAAAATTTAGAAACACCGAAAAAAAGCCCATAGTGCGTCGTAGCGCAAAAGGCTGGACTACTACGCATTAGGTACTTATTTATGATTTAATACTTTTCGATTACTTTATTCGTTAATTACTTCTGAAATATTTCAATTTGGTGTTACAAGAGACCTCCAACTTAATGCCGTGAATCCTTTTCGCGGAAGGATCCTTTATTTTTTCGTTAAAACGGACTTAGACGACTTTACTGTTCGTCTTCCGAGCCTCCCGGGAAAGCCGCGAAGTGCCGTAATTATCCCCTTTTTTTGCGCACTTTGAAAAGTTCTTTGTGGATGGAAAATGATGGAGTTCAGCTGCGTAGTAGACAGAAACAAATTATTATGTAAAGAGTTAAACATTTTATTTCTTTTAACATTGTAATACTTTTAAAACGTTTATTAATTATTGTAGTAGTGGTAATCAATCAGATAGTACAGTTTGTTAAGCGTCGTATTTCTTAAGCTAAGACATTCCAGAATAGTGTGAGGTATCTACAGGTTACACATTACTTTATTATCAAAACATGACATAGTGATAAATTGATAAGTAGGTAATAGCAACAATCACGAATGTTTCTTATTATAACTGACTACTCCGTTGCCACTCAACTAGAAAAAAATGAGTCCATAATATTATGAAATACTTATTCACTGGCTTATTCTCTAGCTTCTTCTTATCCTTCCTGCCGAACCATTTACAAAACCAATTCAGCCAAATTATATTATCATCATCACGTCTTGAATCCTTTTCTTACGGTCTAAAATTGGTCGAACTTGATTAACCAGTATCTAGCTAGTGTGATAAAATGTTAAACATTTTATCGAAGCGGATGCGTTTATTCCCGAACCAAACAAAATCTTGGTTTATAGAATCACGCATAAAAATGTTCATAAACACTATACTAATAATCCGTTCAGTGATTTTCGCATGGACAAACAGTAATTCTCTCAAAGTTCCGTGTTAATAACAGACAGACATTAGATGAAAAGCTGCATATTCACGTATCTATTCGTGTGTGTCTACTGATGCGTGTAGTTCGGCGCAGTGAACTCTAAATAACGCGCGACAAATTACGATAGTCGTGTGAAACACCACACTTGCTAATGCCGATCAAATGAATACTTACTTAATCGTTGCCCTCGTGATATTTACGCGGATATAAGTAGATTATGTTCATGACTGATGTTTTTCTTTCGTTTTACAAGCTTTTGATATCAAAACTATGTATGTAATTTGTTAATGCTGAGGTTTGCCAGATACTTAATATGAATAGGGAGGTTACATAAATATTTCGTCCGTCGGCAACTTAAACATAAAGGCTTTTAGAAATTAAATTACAGTTATCTTGAATGATTTTATAAAAAAAACATAATGTTGCGAAAATACAATTTACTAGAGGATATTCATAAAACTTGATACGCACATAAAAGTGTTCTACAACATAAATAGCATTTTAAATTACCTACTTAGATTTTAAAATAACCTAGACCAACAATATAGGTATTTTCTACACAAAAAAATAATAGACAAATATTGTTGAAAAGTTACATAAACAGATTAAAAAAAAAATTGCCGTACGCCCGAATACTGAAAGGCTACTAAATTTTAAGTTGTAGGTACTTAAATTCTCTGTCATCTCTATCATCTCTGTCATTTTACAAAAAAATGAAATGACAAACCTATACATATTCAAGCACGACAATTGATTGCCGTTTGAGTATTTCAGCGTTATACTTATAGGCATTATTAAAATGACCTAAAAATGTCTTGCGTGGCATCATAATAAAATGAAGCATTTTAAAGTTATCCATCACATCATCAACAATACAAAACATTACAATTATTTACTTTTTGACAAAGACTAAGAAACACGAGTAAAATACTTAATTAAACTCAAACAACGGTAGTAAGTTAGGCGTTAAGTGATTAGATTAAGTTACATGCACCCTTTGTACGAGTTGGGTTGGGGGGACGGTCCAAGTTTCGGGTTCGTCCCTAAGTTACGTTTGTAAGGACGCGGGTTTCAATTCACTGATCTCCTAAGATCTTATTTGTGTGCTAACTACGAACAATGGACTTAACATACGATGTGTCTATGTAGATATTGTGTAGCGCTAAGCTTATTACTGGCGAAGTGTTTCAAACTATATCATTTATCAGATAGTGGAATGAATTGATTTGTTTTGTGGTGTTTGCTTGTGCTGTGTATGTTCTTACTATTTAATTTGATTATTGTACATTTATTTATTATTAAAAATTGTTATTTAAATTCTGCTCTATATTATTATAAAACATTTTTGTTTTTCTATGTAGGTATGTACCGATAAGTTTGTAAGGTTTTCACACAAAAAACTAGTGTATGGATTTTGATGAAATTTGGTACAGAGATAGATCATGGTCCGAAATAACATATGGGGCAATTTTTATCCCAGGAATGCGAACGAAGCTGCTGGCAGAAGCTATTAATTTATATGTATAGATAGATTATGAAAACAGATTTGCAAATGATTAAACAAAGAATCAACGCCCGAATATTGAAAAGCTACTCAACTTTAAGTAGCGCTTAAATATAGTTCTGTCACTACAAATTCTTTGCACGATATTTAACTATAACTTACTATACTTAAAATTGAGTAGCCTTTCAGACTTCGGGCGTTCGTTAGTATCCAAGTTCATATTAAAAAACACATATTAGGCATAAGCCAGATGACTATTATCGTAACCAAACTTCGATCTTCTTTCAACTTATTTATGTAAAGTTTTTTCTTTATCTGGAATATTCTTTAATTTTCGTCAATGCATTTATTTAATCAATTAATAAACAAGCACTTTTTAATTATACCTTAGTATTATCTATCAGCCGGCTTGTTAGCGAATCACTCTAGCTAAGTCTCATTCAAAATATTATAAATAAAAATTATAAATATCTTATGATATTTATTTATCATCATCATCAAAAGCCGTAAGACGTCCACAGCTGGACAAAGGCCTCTCCCTTACTCCTCCAAATAATATTTATTACATATTTAAAAACAATAGTTATAGTTTAACATCAAATATAAATTGTATAACGCCATAATATTATGGTTAAAGAGGAAGAATTTGTCTGAAACGAATAATGGCTTTTATAAAAAATCACACAACTTGAATAAAGATAAATTAACTTAATTTACGTCTTTGTATACCTAAATATAAATATATTTGGTAGTAAATGATATACAAAACGTGCTGCGACGGGTGTTCAGCTTAAGACAAAAAGTGTACGTAACTACTTATTAATTTCGTAACTTAAATATTTTTATCTACAATTCTTCTTAATTGAGATATCCTTTGTTAAAATTCTTCATAACCTTTGTTACAGATCTGTTGTAAGTAAATAAGAATTATGAACGGATATTATCCCGTTCATAAGTGTTAAAGAATGAAAATAGCAGAAACTTAGGAAGGAAACTCCTTTTTGTACTTATTTTTTATTTGTAAATTAAATATTTCGGCAGGCAGGCTTGTTACTATCTACCTGGACCAGTTCAATATACTGTAATCTCATTTTACATGTAGAGCATAAGTACAAATCTACTAAAGTATTCATTATTCTCGATAAGATAAAAGTATTTTAACCAATCAAGAAGCGTTTTCTTTCCAGTCACCAGCAGCTTGTAATTTTCTTAAATTTTCAGCTTAGGAATAGACAATAAATTACTTTACAACAGTATTTTGTATTCAAATATTTAAGCTAAAAGGCACCAACTGGTGAGAAACTCATATTTATTTTTGACGAGTAAAATATTGTTGCTGGTCAAACTATTCATTGTGTTCAAACTAACTGTAAAGTAACGATAACAAACAATGACAGATGACTTAGAAAAAAGTCAAATCAGCTGACCTGTTCCCATCCTACGGACTGCCACGTTTGGCGCCCGTTGTCGATCCCAGAAGGCAGACAGCTCGACAGTTGTCTTTGAAGCTCAGTTCAAATCAATCCACTAAGTTCAGGTAAATACATAATCTTTCACTAAGTTAACTATAGTTTTCTTTTTTTATGAATACACCAAAAATCACACTGTTAAACTTTAAAGTGTTCTCTCGCACAGACATTCATTACCCAGTGTAAAGTCAGTACATATGTACGAAAGTTTTAATGACTTCTGTAGGTGACTTCACCACCCAGTCGCGGCTTTCGGCAGACTGCTCCGATAATTGTGATCTTTGAAGCCGCTGCGGAGATCGCGAGTCACGTCATCCCCTGATTACATTGAGTCCCACCCCCTGAGCAGGACAACACCATACAGGAGGCACGGGAGCGAGCGAGATGGGTGTGATCCCATCTTGTGTCCCAGTCCACAGGCTACATTGTCAGGGCAGCGGTCGCTACGTATCTGACTGAATTACGTACGAACATAATGGTTGCATTACGGGATGAAGTATAAGGCGATTGTTTACGCTTCAGATTTTACTTTAAAAATAAATACTTTTAACACTTCAGAAGTCTATGACACAAACATGTAAATGCTTATCTATCATTTAAGAAAAAAGAACTAGCGTAGACTCAAGAAAATAATTTACAACGTTGATATCTTTCCTTTGCGCAATTTAAGCTCTAATTTTATTGTCACTGAGTAGGGTTTCCAAATGTTTATGATACAAAATAGAGATAAATATTGTAAGTAAGTACAATAAGACAAAAACACATAACAAACAAAAAGGTGTCGAAGAATGTTCTTTCAGAACTATCAGTATAGTAAACATTAAAATGTCAAGTTAGATCACGGGGTGAGCGAGGCAGCTTAATTGGCTGGGCGGCGGCGCGGGCCAATGGGAGCGCGTGTGGCGCACGAGGGGCGGGCCGTGCAGCTTTTGATGTGAACCGAGCTACGAAGCGAAGTCGCCACGTGAACCGTTGAATAGGACAAGGATGCTTGTCTAATGAACGATACTAACATCTAAGGTACACGTTGCCACGCTCGTACCGACACCGTCCTGTTTGACCGAACACTTTCTGTGTGTGCCACACACCTTACAAACTTTTGATGAAGTTTTCTTTCCGATGGTCTTATAAAAACTTTTAGTACTTAGTTTGTAATATATTTTTATTTTCTTTGCTATCTATGTGCACAGTGAGAAAAGATGCTGTGCAACTGTTTTGGTTAGAAATTGTTTTAATGACGTTTTACAAGAATCCCTACAAATAAACCTTCTTAAAATATTTTTCTTTCAGTAAATACCGCGATATCTATACATACCTCTATAATAAAATGGTAAGAAAGTCAAACTATACTGTACATTGAAAGTTATTTTAAAAGCATGATTAAGACGTGATCTACAATTAAGAAATAAAAACAGCATAACTAAATTCCAATTCAAATAGTTAACCAAAGTCTTTTGCAAACGATTGCACAATAAAAATATTATTGTTCTCGTTCCTATTTGCATCGCAGTACAATAGACTCAAGTATGTAAGTAGTACTTATTTCGCCACCCTCTACCCTGTGTACAGAACCCCCTATCTTATAGGTGAATCCCAGCGATTATGTGGAGTATGTTGTTTTAGCGCGGCCGTCGGCGTAATCCCGGCGACCGGGCGGCGACCGGCGACCGGCGACGGCAACCGGCCGCGACCCACGGCACGCGATCTCACTAAACGTTTGCGCCTTGTACCAGTAATCCGGGGATACGTGACCAGCTATTATGGCGTTACGGTTGTGTTTTCCCCTATTTTGTCGCATTTTCGTGCGTTTTTTTATTCAACTGTATGCATAATAATTTATATTATGTTATTGTTGTATTAGATTGGAATTGATTAGGTAACGATAGACTTTAAATAACTTTACCTTAAAAAATTCAGAAGACTAAAGTTTCTTAATAGAATAGAGTAGCTCTTGATAATTCAATAGCTATGTGAGAAGTGATAAGTAATAAAGTGCAAACTTCAATGACTGCACATCATCACAAGTTTTTCACAAGCTTCTAATAAAACTTTCTCACATTCCAATTCCCACGAGTCCCTCAATCATTTCACAATTATTGATTTAAAATTATTGTTTTTTCATAAACACTTAAGGTTCAAAAGTAGGTTACAAATCCTATGACGATTGTTAATTTTATAATAGAAAACATATGCGTTCGTGATAAAAATAATATGAAAGGGGTTGCCAACGCTACGACCACTTGAGGAGTTTAAAAAATTAATAATGTGCGCGTGACCATCCTTTTATTCGATGTTACCCCTTTTTAAATTTTACCCATAATGTAAACTTCATAAGTGTTTGTCGTTTTTTGATTTGCCTTTTTTAATTTTTTGCTATCTTGATATTGTTTCAAGGGCTATTTAAATACGAATTTACTTCCTATTAATTACAACGATATACCAATATATTGGAAGTACTTGATTTCGTTCTGTTCAGTTAAGGAATTTCAGGTTTTAAAAGTAAATGAATTAAACTAAAAATATGTCTGTCTATGTTATCCGATAAAAATCTCCATGAATATATCTAATTAGGTTCTTCTTAATCACAAGTATTAGCAGATTTTCGGTATTCTTAATAACAGCAAAGAGTTTGGCTAAGCTTTACTACTTTAATTATATCTACTACTATATCTAGCACGGTAATAGACTCATTCGAAAGAAAAATGGGGAAACTGTGTGGCGACAATATATTAAAAAGAGGGCTTGCTCACCCCTTTAAGAAAGATTTTACAATAAGTATCTACACCACTAATCTATACCCGTCACTCATGCGTGCGCTACCTAATCAGTCACACATTATTTACATAAATTCTGAGCAAGAGTTGATTATGAAATCCCCGCACTCCATTCGCCATTATGTCGCCGCTAAACGTAGATGATCTGTCAGTTGCAAAACGACAACTCATTCGACATCAAGACACTCTCACACTTCACTGAGCGTCATTAAGGAGGTTGCTGATGTACGAAAGGAATTTTGGATAGGCAATATGGTACATTTTTTTAGTACCTTAGTTTCGTGGAATCATTTGTGTCTTGTATTTAAACATAGAAGTTATTGAATCTTCCTGCCACTACATGTTACTAACCTAAAGTCTAGATATTAATTAACCCTTTGAGTACCGTCATTATAGACACAATTAAAGAACAATAGGTTGCGGTCACCGGTGTCTTCGCGGTATTTGACAGTTTAATACACACAGACACACACTAACAACTGTGTATGTGAACTTGTATGATTGTAAACGCCCCGACACTTAAGAAAATTCAAAATTGAAGCAACGTCCAAAAATTTAAGTTATATAATTGTTGTTTGCGCAGTTTTCCTTTTTCTATTATTTAATTATTTAATTGCGCATCAAAAGAGCCGGATCCCACGATACACAGGGATTCCTAGTGTTAGGTTTAGTGCTTGTATTCTTTTGTCAGTAATTCTCTGTTTTACAAAGATTTCTTTCTACGTATGTATATTGATATCATGCTATGCCAAAATTTACTACGTGAATAAAAGTTAATTGCTGTTTTGTGTTCGTATAAAATGCCTCACCTAACTGCCATATCCATATATTATTTGTACGTTTATTACGCGTCTGTGTGATGCTTTTAGCGATGCGATGGTACGCACCTGTGTTGGATGCCACTAATGCCAGTAGGTGGCGTGGTGGTGACAAATGAGCACTACCAGTAAAAATCGCGCCCGTTCCACAGTTTGCAGTATTTGGCTGAATTAATTCGTCTCACGATGTCTCTTAGAACGGCGTACTCTAATGACGTCTATAGAAGCGACCAGACTTGTCATATTGATCCTATTTTATCGCTCTAATTTTATAAGTTACTTATTAGCAGACATGTCTGCTAGGTAGAAAAATGTAAAGTAAAGATAAAAACAGGAATTCTAAAGAAATCTTAGATTTATATATGTAGAATACAAGCTAGATTTCTATTGTACATACATTCAAGACATACAAGAACTTGTTAAAACAAGAAGCAATAAAAAGTTGTACTGCGTAGTTCGGTTTACGGCGCGTCTATCGGCTGCTACGGCGTAGCGCGTTCGTAGCAGGCACTTAGCTGGTGGCCCCGGGCGCTCTGATTTATGTGCCGGCTACATCCAGTCGCGACAATTCATTTCAATTAACGCTCACTGCGCCCCTAGCGGTCCACCCTCATATAACGTTCATAATTATAAAACGTTACACCTCTATTCGTTGAGAACTTTGTGTATTTAAATTATTCCGTTATACTTACGTATAACGATATAACTAGTACTGTACTACGAAATTTACTAACAATAATATGACAAGTTCATCTAAATTCAAACCACAATATTTCAAATATGAGCAACAAGCAAAATGTTTCACATAAACGTATTTAACTTTCCATTGGCTCCCTCCGTCGTGATTTTCACAAAAATAAAAAAGACAAAGAAATAAAAATGATCAATCGTGCGCTAAATGGTTTACACAGTGAATCCCGATCATTGGTGAGAATTCATTTGTTCGCTAAAAGCGTGACAATTGCGAAATCCGTGGCAGAACGACGACGCGCGATGGTGCGCAAACAGAAAACGGCGGCGCGGCGGCTCGCGAAAAAGTCCTTTTAAAAATGTTGCGGCACGTACGGGTGGGAAGGCACCCATTACTCTGAAGTGGTGATTGTTGGTTTAAAGATTTAGCTGCAAACGAGGAAACAGAGCAGCGCTAAAGACTCGCAGAGTTATACCACTAGATGGTTTTATTAATATGGACAATTAATTATAACGCTGTGCATCTATAAAATTTTATCTTATGATCTGGTAAAATAAATGTAGGACCGTATCGTGCATCTATCAAAACTCGACCTACATAAATATTTTTCTTGATATATCTTATTTAAACAATAATCAAGGATTGATATTATCTCAATCACAAAAATAAAAGATTTTTATCAATAGGTACAGAACAAATTTAAAATCACTTTTTAGAACGTACCTGTTTTAAAAAGAGGTTATCACAATTTGAAATAATTTGTTTTGTTGACTGCATCGACGAGATAAATATTTTATTATCAGTGATCGTTTCTAGTGGACTGTATCGTTGAACCGCCTTTGTACCTAATTGCTTACTCACAATCTCTCCTAATACCGCATTTAGACATTGCGTGGCGACGAGGTAAGCTCACATCGCCCATTAATGTTTGTTCAAGCATTACAACAGTATAGTAAGCAGCATCATGAGATTATATAAAATCAAAAGGAACATAACGATTTACTCGTAATTTTCCCCTAATTTGTGCTAAGAATATCTCGAAGTTGAAAATTTGTTATGGCCTCTGCCATTAACCTATGATCAACATCGACCGAATTGGCTGCCAGAAATAGCATTTTGATAACCAAGACTTATCTCCATTTTTATTTTAACCCATTTTTGTCATCATACCACATACATCATATTATCGTTATGCGTACATTAGTGGGTACAGACCATAAGACTTCTCGAAACACGATATCAAAAGCTTTCTTAGAATCAACAAAATAACTAAACTTCCTCTAATAAGAAGATGTACCATCGTACCCATATTAACGACGTGTATTAAAAAAATAATCTACATCTACACTAATGGTACAAAGAGGAAAGATTTGATTTTTTGTTTGTTTCTCCTCTCATGGAATCTCCTCCGAAACTACCGGGCTGATTTAGAAAATTCTTTTACCGTTGGAATCCTACATTATCGATAATGAACATAGGCGAATAAGAAAAGAGGGAACATTATTAAGAGAAAAAAGAGGGAACCGTGTGAAGATTTCGATAATGTGACCGATATATGAAAATACTACCAAAAATCTCCTAATATTGCTTAAGCCTTTGACTGCTCATAGAAAACTGTTTTCAAGGACTGATAATACTATTTAGCTGCATCAGAATGCGAGATTTTAAAGAAAAAATACTAATTCAATTAACTGAATACATTTTATTCATGGACTAGCTTCTGCCCACGGTTTCGGTCACGCTCTTTTAAAGTATTGAGGGTAGGTTTACAAAAGATTAGAAAGAATTGGTGCCGAATGTTTTCCTGGTCACAAATAAGATAGTAATTTTAGGTTTCTTGAAAATTACGAAATGCTCCATACAAACTTTTTAAGCCCTGGTTTAGGGAAGTGATGGGTTAAAAAGAAACAAAATTTCACCTATGTATGCTACTTTCAATCCGTTTTATACTTTCTACTACCTCCACTCAATAAAAAAAATTACGTCAATTTGTAACAAAACAAATAGACGTAAACAAATTTATATTATTAAACTTTCTTTGTTATCTTATACTATTATATAGCGGAAGAGTTAGATTTTTTGTTTGGTTGTTTGAACGCACTAATCTCCGTAACTACAAGTCTGATTTGAAAAATTAATTTTGTGTTGGATAGCACATTTATTGAGAATGGCTATAGGCTATAAAACATCATGCTACGACCAATAGGAGCTGAGCAGAGCGTGTGAAACCGCGCGGAAGTAGCTAGTTTGACATATTTTTGACAAGTGAGTTTCATGCCAATGGATTATTGACAATTAAAGTATACAAAGAGGCTGAATACTAATTTTATGAACCACTGAACCTATTTGATTGAAGTTCGGTTCAACGAGAGTTTGGAACACTGGCACTGGAAAGGATATCTCACGGGACAGGAACTATGCGTTAAAATTCCGGGACTCTCTATTGCGTAAGCCACTGGACCTAACCTATTTGAATGCAATTAGGTACAACGATAGTTTGAGACTCGGAAAATGACGCCTGATAGTTTTCTTTCAAATAGAGTTTTAATTGCTGAAACCTCACGGGAATTGATACTATACGGGTAAAATCACTGTGGGATTATTATTTTTTTAAAATCACGAAAATAATCAACATTTCACGTTAAATATAACTAAATTGATTCTGATGATATTTGTTACATAGCGTTGCAATTAATCTTGGAGAATACTATTTAAAAAAATCTAAATTTTCCAGAAATTATTATTACACGCGGACGAAGTCGCGAGGAACAGCTAGTATGTATATAAAACTCTGTTAAAGTTATTATTTCGTATGAAATTAATTTCCATGAAAGTCTGATGAAAGATCTTGCTATGAAAAGATGATTAACTAGAACTTAATTACATAACATCACGCCACTTACCACCGAAGGGGTAGGCAAACATGCTCATTATGGCACTTAACTTTTGACGATACTTAGTTTTTGACGATTGTCAAAAACTATTCTGTTTTGCGAATATAAAAAGTAATATATTTTCTCGTAAATATACTGGTAACTAGGACTAAAACTTTCTGAGGGTGTTTGCAGAAAGGTTAGAAGGGCCTACAATAGATAGATTTATCAAGCTGCATGTCAGACGTGGAGCTTGATAATGCTTCTAATAATAATCTGTTCTGTATTTGTATTTGTGTATGTATTATTTTGTTATTGTATTTTTGTACTCGTGTGTTACTACTAACATAGTTTTTTAAGTTTGTACTGTTTACTAACACTCTATGGGCCGTCGACGCCTGAAAATAAAAGATTTTTATTTTTTTTATTTTATTTTATTTAAAATCGGTCAAAGCAATATTGATAGATTTTCGATACTCTATAAGATGCATTAGAAGAAATATTTATTATTAGTATTAACGCTATTTTGAGAGACTAAAATTATAATTTATAGTACTTATAAAAGTCTTGTAGATCTTGTGTAGTCTCCCGTAAGCACTTATGGCTTACGGGCCCTTAGTTTCTTACAATCTTGTAAAAGGGATAATACTATCTGAATATGGTTCATAATCTAAAATACCCAATGATAAAATAATAAGCAAAGAAATTGTTTTTATGCTTCAATTTTATTAAAACAGTTTTGGTAACATTTCTGTTTACAATAAAATAACTTAAACTTACAAGTTTAATTATTGTCTAACAAAATTAATAGATCTATGCGCTATACTACACTTATAATATCAGTTCCTAAGAAATACACATTTGAACAAAACATAATATTTACAACAAATATGAGTTAAACCTATATATATTCTCAGTCAAGTTATCTAGCAGTAACTTTAAGATATTCAGTACCATCTTCAGCTGTATAATCAGCAGGGATGTTAGCTAAGTTATCAATAATTTTCTCGTAAAGGTCGATTCCGTCCAGGAAGGTATCCATGGCGAGCCTTTCGTTGACTGCATGCAGTAGAAGTTCTGTGTTAGGCATAGGAGAGAGACCTAAAGCTGGGTAACCAGCGTTTCTGACGTGCCGAGCATCCGTGGAGCCAGGAGGTACTGTGGCCAACAATTGTACGCCGCTGTTGAGGAAACAAAGACTTGGTTAAAACGAATGCAAATTTAAGAAATTGGATTAAGGATTATTGAGTTTCAAAAGTCATAAAGGGATTAAGTACTAACGATAGCGTTTTAAGCTTATATTAGTTAAAAACAACTTACAGTTCTTCTGCTGCACTGGTTACAGCATTCCAGTAGGGGTTTGATGCATTCACGATGGTAGCTGGAGACTGTGGGTTCTTCAAAATGTATGAGAATGTTATGTTGGATCCTGACTCCGCAATCATCTGACGAATCTGGCAAAATAAAAAGAAATAAGTTGAAGTCATCATCAACCGAGCTTGAGGATTAAATATTCTGTAGTATCTAAGACAAATATTTCTCTGCCCAAAGCATTTTGACTTACCTTTGCATCCATTTGTTCCTCGTTAACAGTTGTACCCAAACGTATGTCAATGGTGAGACTGATGAGGCTCGGAATCACATTGTTGGCTGTTCCACCCTGATTGGAAAGGAAAAACATAGTTCATATGAAAATTTTATTACAGCAACGCTTTTATGTCTTAACGCCTTAACTAATTGAAATATTTTCGATTAGGAATAAGATAGACGAATAGAGGATAGAGAACGAGTTTTATGCAAATTTATACTTATTTCATCATAATCATCGACCGCCTATAAGTGCCCACTACTCAGCAAAGGCCTCTTCTCACTTATTTTTTACTACCTAAATATTATGTATTATACTCACATTAATTTTGTTAATATTGACAGAAGTGTAACCGCCAGCGTCATTAGGGGGTGCAACTTTAGCTAACTCATACTGCTCATCTCTGAATTCAAAGAATTTGTTCATCACGTTGCGGCACTGGAAAAGAAGGATTGTTTTAATATAAAGCGTTTACACATTAAGTATTTGTTTTAGTGTAAAGTAATGAATAAGTAATTTGTATTTGTTTAATGAGTAAGTATTTCTTTATTGTCTTTTAGTGTCGTTAAAAGAAACTTGTTATTGGTATAACAGTACTATTTCCAATAATAAATTGACCTACATAAACATGTACTTGGTTAGTATTTTTATTACCTTTCCAGTAGCAGTTTCGTTCGTGGCCGGGAAAGTGGATCCGTGTGCAGATACGCCGTGACAGTCAACCTTAATTTCTGCAACAAAATATTTAAAATTATTGTAGGAATTATTCAAGGTTTTTTCTCCTTAATGTTGTGATTCTTTCCCTGAATATCATCTGGTATTTATTGGAAAAACTTGGATGCATGGCTTCCATGCTAGACTATTGCGTTTACCTTTACAGATAGTGCTTATAATAGTACGTAATGAACCCAGTGACCGACGGCAAGTTTGTTTAAAACCAAAACTTCCTAATCACTATCGATATCCGACTCATTAGTAATTTTGGAAAAATTTTACAAAAGGAACAACATTATTATTAATACATCTGTTTCAACAAAATATTGTAGACTACAGAATGACGACTGCCAAATTGTCAATATTTTTACAGAAGGCCGGTCCAAATTCCATATTACTGTCTTGTGTCTTGTAGTTTCAAAATTATTCATGGATATGGTTTATTAAATACACGTGTGTCTCATTCATCGTCACAAAAACCATGAAAAACATCATCAGTGTGAAAATGTAAAATGTGAAATATTTGCAAGGTTTGCATAAATAGCTTTAGCTCAGTTCCATTAATTTATAAGTATTGTACGATTAGAGTTTTGCTGTTTCAGAGTTCATTTATAAAACAGGTTGAACTTATCGAACTGGACAGTTTTACCTAACGGCAGAGCAGATGGATGATACCATGTTTAAGTGCTAGTATTAAATTATACTTACGCCACACAACTTTGTCTTGATAGAAGACTGCAATGACAGGCAATGGGAAAGAGGTACCTTCATCTAATTCTATTCCCACATTCATTGCTGCGAATTCTTCACTCTCGAGGAAAGGAATCATACCAGCTTCAGCACCGACTTCCTCGTCTAAATGAATAAAAGAAAATACATTTGGTAAATGCGTTTTTAATAAAATTATTTTAAGAACACTGTATATCCATTGAACTTTTAAACTAAATGTCTGAAATACCTAAACGATACGTAAAGTTGCAATTATCTATTTTATAAATCTGTGTGCCAGGTGGCAAGTTTTAGCTTACACATGGCAAACAAATCCGGATATACCAAGTTGTTGTGTAATATTTAATCCGGTGATAGTAAAAGTATGATAAATAATCAAGCGATACAAACACAGACTATAATTAAATCACGTTTAATGATAAAACAATTAAGTGAGTCAATAAGTAAGGATAGTCTAGAGATAGTGTTTGATCTAGTGCCAATCTGTGTTTGACACAGATAACATATTTGATGACTGTATAATTCCATTATCGGCGGGTTTTTTAAATGTATAGTAAAATTAATTACTGATTTAAAAGATAATTGCTTATAATGATTCATAGGAAATCCGTTAAAAGTCCCTAAAGTTTTAAGATTACTGTGTACTCTAAGCACGTGTCTCGTACATGCGTAGTGCATAGTACAATATGATGTTATATAACAACTGTGCATTTCTTCTGAATTGTTGTGACCTTTTGTAAAATTAGTTTAATTATATTGATGTGTATAATAATTACAGAAACTAGATTTGGTAATACTCAATGCGAAACAATTGTACAGTAAGAAATAATACATAAGATTTTTTACGAAAAATGAGCTTCATGTGAAAGCTAACAAAAAATCATGAATAACTTACCAGGCATAAGAGTCATGTACACGTCTCTGAGTAGCGTGACATTATTTTCCTTCAGTCTGCGTAAAGCTGTGTAGTACTGTATCGACACGGATTTCATGTCTTGTGTCCCCCGGCCGTACATGACATTGTTCTCGTCTATGTGGCCAGAGAACGGGTCGTAAGTCCATCCGTCCTGTAAAGAAGCCAAAAGTTTTATACCTACATAGCAATGTGTTATTTTAATAGCTAGAGTATGTTTCGATGTTATCGACTATCAGTCTATATACTGGTGAAAATTCTGAAAATTCACCCTATGACAAGTGGAATAAAAACTTGTAATTAATGAGACATTACATTCATGGAAGCCTACGATCATATAACAGTATCATTTTATTTTTTTGCTAAGTTACATGTAGTCACGTCTAGATGTCCTGCTTTTCAGCCGTGGTCTTATCCTACGATCTTGCATATACTGATCATTTCTTTAATCACCATATTTATCCTACATCGTTATTGAATAGCGGTCGATGGATGCATTGTAGTCCGACGATGCCTGATTAGAGCTGTGCTAAGGTCGTACAAAAATGAAATTACGGTCAGTTTAGATGCTAATCAACTTTTATCATATTCTATCTAGGTAAATAGGTATTTCTGAGAGCTGAGTTGCTATACTAATATTAAGGTAATTTTTAGTGATTTCTTATTTAAAGTTAGGTACCAACTCACATTTATGGAGAGTAAATTATATATTCCCGGCCAAGGGGTCTTCGACGAAAGGGATGATCACTAGATCCTTGTTGTAATATTCAAAATATAATGCAATATATAAGTGAATAACTATATTACTTATATCTATCGCCATATACCTATCAAACATATCTACATCAAAAGCTAATCTGATAGGCATAATAATGTAGTATAATTTACTGCTTACCTAACAAACATCGGTACAATATTCTACGTGTAGATAAATGGGATACCTAACAGCATAAATTGCTTTTGTAACGAATAAATTTTTATGGACCTAAGCGATTCGATAAAACTCTTTTAGTACTTTTCCTTTTGACCTAAAAGTCGACCAGTGCCTCATAAATAATTAATATTAGATATTTTCTTCTTGGAAACAAAATGGTATAGTATTTTTAAGTAGACTTATACTACTGGACAGATTTTTATGTCTTTTATTTTTTGATATGAATGAAGCTAACTTATTTTCCGATATGCAGAATTTGACGGATAGATTCTTAACTTGTATGTTTGTAAACTAAACATTGACCGTAGTATTGGCAGCGTTCTATAGTTTGGAAATTACCATGGGGAAAAAGCTGGAAGGGTGTTACCTACTTACGACTGTTTATCAGTGTTTGTATGAATTATATTTACCTCAAGTGCAGCGGGTACCACATCCATGTGTGAGTTCAGCATTATGCTGTGTTGGCTGCTGTCGGCTCCTGCCCATTTCAGCACAACAATGGGGAAACCTTCCACTATCTCGTAGACATTGATGGGCACGTCGGCTAATACGGCTAATTTTCTCCAGAATTCCACTGCCTCCGCTGAAAGAAGATGATATCTTGATATTGATGGTTACGGAATTTTTATATGGCAGTTATATTACAAGTGAAAATAAAAGTAAGACAGAAATAGTTATAACAAAGCTGATGAAATTATGTATTAGTATTTCTCAAGCAAAGTAAATTAAAACTCATGTGTAGCAATGACGTTAAAGATGATTTTGCAAAAAATACTTTGTTCAGTTAGAATGATCTATGAAGTAACTCACATAAGTCATTGTAAGTAGTTGTGTTGATCTGTATGTAAGCTTGGAGCAGTTCCACTGGACTGCTGTTGGAGTAGTCAGCTGTATCGCAGGCAGCCAAGCTGACTCGCAGCTGCAGCACCGCTAGGACTATGAAGGCTATTCTATTCATTTTTATTCTGTCAAAGAAAATATTCCAATTAGATGTTGTATGTGATTATCAAACAAATCATGATTATGATTCATGGTGAAGTTAAAACTATAGGCTATAATACCACTAAATAATGATCCTACTTTCCCGATGCCATGTTTATGTGTGATGTGTATGTTTGAAAACGTACCCATAGGTAGGGCGAAGATATACTAGGGTGGGGCAATAGTTGTGTCAAAAAGAGAAAATTAAACTATTGAAAGAAAAACTAAATAGAAAATTAACTGGAAAAATGGGTTAGTAATGTCCGAAAAGCTGACGATATTTTTTAAACTTTCTAAACAAATAGACTAATTATTATGAACGCCAAAAAACAATGCTTTTTAAATAATATTACCTAGTAGGAACCAAAACAAAAATAGTGCATAATCACTGTTTAGAAGTCGTACCCCATCTAACTATTATATACCGACATTAGTTTTTATTTAAATTAATTTCGTATTTATTTTTAAAATTACTTTATTTTATATTTTTAAAATGTCAGTCGTACAGTATGAGCTACTTACCGAACCGACAGTAGACTGTTGTAGAAGCCATTATCACTCGGGTATTTATTGCGAATTTGGCGAATCGCTACACTGCTAGGAGGGATCAATTCGACAACTAATAAAATACATTAAAAGATAAGAAAAAGACAACAACAAATGTAAAGTAACCGAATTAATATATATTTTTAAGTAGATAAAAATGTTTATTTATTTTACCTATTAATAATTTATTACATTGCACTTGCATTTGCAATCCTAGAACGCATACTTATATGAAATTAAAAAAGAGTAACGAATGGAGTTTCTTGCTCGTTCTTCTCCATTCGAATCTACAATTTGGAATGAGCATCTAGCTTCACTGACGGACTGTCTGACAGACTATTATTTGTTTTGTATTTGCTGACGTTTCAAAAGTACCAAATTCTGGTTTAATTCAAATAAATGCTTTTGAATCTGAGTTTATAATGTTATTATTACAGTTCCAAAGTACCAAAAACCAACCGTGAAATGATAACAACAAAATAATATTATATTATTATGATACATTAAACGCATTTTACGCAATTTTGACCCAATTGATTCTGTTGGTATGCCGATTAGCTTCATGTCAAGCGCCATTATTATTTGTCGCATGAAAGTTCATAATTCGAATGCACGTACATACACATGAAAATATATTTTAAGCTGTGAGTAAATAAATAATGTTAATGTATCTGTGTTAGGTATTATGGGTGCTTATTAAATGAGAATGCGAGTGCGTTAAATGAGAATGTTGATCAAAATAAATAAGTTTAAGGTAACATAGAACCTAATTAGCTATTTTAGGGACAAAGGGTAAAAAGAAGATTGAAACATGATGGAATAGATTCTTAGCATAATAGGTACAGTGGGTATAAAGTATGAATATTAACTTTAAAAGCAGACTTTCTAGGATTATTTAGACACCAATGACATTTGGTGCAGAAAAACAATAGGAGGAAATCTGGACTTAAAATATCCCATTATAAGTTTATCCCAATCGATATTGAGCAAGCGAGAGTTTAGGTAATACTCATCCTTCTTCGTCTGAGAGGCCTTTATTCAGCAGTGGATACTTAGAGACTGTTGATGATGATGATGATGATTTAAAGCAGATGGTGAGACCTTTAGTTGTAGTAGTAGTAGTAGTAGATAAAATACTAGAAAAGTTCACATATAAATATATATCTATAGATATATATAAAAATATAACTTAAAACATAACTTGAGAATGGCTGGACCGATTTGGCTGTTTTTTTTCTTGTGTTTGTTATCGTCCTTCTTATGGGAATCTCTTATGAAAATCTTATAAGAAGCCGAGAAAACGGGATTGCGCGTACGAAGTCGCGGGAGAAGCTAGTAAACAATAAATAACATATTTATAATACTTATCATTATAATAATATAAATATTTTAAATAAATTATCCGAAACCTTACCTTCGATGAATCATAACATACTAATTACTATAAATAAGTGACTAATTAATATTTTTGAGATAAAAAATATGTGTAATGCAGATTAAAATGTTTAAAGATCAGATCAGATTCATTAGGTAATAGGTACGTTTTACTACGCATTGTTTTGACAGTTTAAGTACCCATGAAAGTAAGAAAAGGCGTAGTTATTTTTCGATTGCAATGAACTTCATGTTACAGTTTTCCAGAGACGTATCGGCGACGTCGACAATGCATTACCTTTGTTTGTATTTAAATTTTACCGACATCAAAATAAAGTAGGTTTTCAGTTTCACCTGTATGTATGAATATATATATGTATGTGTGTATGTATGTATGTTTGTTGGTGCGCGATTATCTCGCGATTGGCTGAACCGATTTTGATACAGTTTTCGGAAAACACTTTAAAAAGAGGGAGTTGAAGTCGGTATAATTAAGCATAGTTTATAAAACTATTATTTTATTGTTACTATGACTGGAATATCATGCTATCGTGGTATATTAATTGCCAACACAATGTTTCTATTTCAATACAAAGTCGTATTCATCGATTGCGATTCCAAACATTCTATCTAATGCGTTTCGAATTATTATTTTGGTGTTATTCATCGATCAATCAAATTTAGAGGTCAGCAGCAGGTGCCTATAGTTTTATCTAGACTAAATTACATTTATCATCTATCATCATCATAGGTACAAATATTAAGGAGTTAAGGAGATTGCTTTTGTTTTTATTTGTGCGTGCTATCTCTTAAGTTTGATTTTGATTATTTCCATTATTATAAAAACTACTCATTTTCGGTACTTTCCCACATATCTGTCACCCACTTACATAATATTCCCAGACACAAAATACCTATATACACTACGGAATCACGACGCGATTATCATATCGCCGCGGTACTGAATGGAGTTTTATTTTCAAAACTCACGACTCTGTGGTACGCAGATGCCGCGGTTATGATTATCGTCCGCAAACTTGGCGGTTGATTATCGCAAGACGGGTGGTTAAATCAGTTTAGTTTCAGACCGACCCTAAAATTGCTAACTGTAGAGCACGCGGATGCAACCCGCCGCGGTTGCGAAACCGGTGCAGCGGGAGCCGCAAACAATCGCAAATGCCGCGCGGGTAAAACGCGCCGTGAAATTATTTTAGCAACCGCGTGCGCGGAAGAAAATCGCTTCGTGAGTTCTTGGCCTAATACTGTAGGTAGAGCGTATCAATAACTTCATACGCATTCCATTTTTCCTCGTTCTCGTAGGTGTTTTAAATGTCCTCTCTTAGGAACTAAGCTTCAAGTTGGTTCATTGTCAGTTTTTTATGAATTGTAGTATTAGATGTACATTGTCTATTAATGAAATAAGATAGAAATGAGGTTTCATTTAGTCTTAATTAAAAAAATAAAAATCAAGAAAGATTCCTGAATTGAATGTCAAGTAGAACAACTTGTACCTACTTTTGTTCTGAATTTCAATATGTTCACCTCGTTACGAAAATAGGTACTTCAATATCGATTTAGGTATATCTTTGCAATTAGCCTGATCTTTGAAGATTTAGGACATAAATAAAAACTGCCCGATAACATATCGTTGCACATAGGAATGTATATTGATGGTTATTAATATTTCGTTTGACTTTTCTAATAATTTCGTCACACGTTTACTGCTACTGGTACAATATATCAAAATCTTATTTTTTTTTTATTGTTTCCTGTCATAAACCGTTAATGACATAAGAAATAATGTTACAAACACAGGCAAGTCTCTGAAAGCGGTTACATGTATACACACTATAGATGACACCGTTTTATGAAAAAGTAAAATAAAAATTGTAGTGTATTTTTGAATTACATTATTAGGCTGAAGGGAGAACCGATGGACAGCCATTGGGGTATCCTGTGTTGGAGACCACACTTCGGTCAATGTAGTGTTTAGTAATTAAACTATCAAACACCGCGAGAACACCGGTGACCGCAACCTATGGTTATTTAATTGTGTCTATACCGACGGTACTCAAAGGGTTAAGTTTAATTATAAGCCTAGGTTTGGAAGATATTTTGTCCTAATTTTCAATGGTAATATATTCACCTGGACGGAGTGATCGACAAATTAGATGCGAACGGGCTAACTAAAGTGCTTAGTAGATTCATGGACTTTAAAAAAAATGTAAACTAGGGCTAGCAAATTCGTGAACTACATGTAGGTAGGTAGGTTATATGGATAAACAGTGCTTATTACATTTTAAGGTTTCAATGAAATGGGAACATTTGATGGCATTTTTGAAGTAGGTACCTACCTATTATTTATATACATTCAAACGAGTATTTTCGTTATCAAAGCGGATGCCAAAACAATTAGCTATTAATTACATTTCTAAAACAGTTGATACCCAACTATCGATTAGTTTGTAAATTGGGAAATTTCATATCGTAATGTATTGTTTTTATCAGTACAGTATACAGTGATGGCAAATTAAAATAAAATATTAAGCCTATAAAATATAGGTATAATTGCCATAAAAATTAACATATAATTTAAAAGTATGTACTTAAGAAACAAATCTATAATCTATAGATATTTTCTGGGAGTGGGCGTGACGTGTTAAACGATTGTGGGCTACGAAGCAAGTGTTAGAAGCGACCAAAGGTCAATAAAATACTCATTGAAATCTTATCACACCTATTTAAATTTATAGCAAATAACAATAAAATCATAAATTACGTTTTTATAACTAACACATTATAAATCTAAATTGCTTGCAGTATAACGTTATTGTGACTGTAAAACCACATCATTCTTTGTAAAGTATGTAATATATCTAGGTAGGTACCTACGCACATATCGATGTTCGTCGGTGTGGTATCTGTCATTATGCTTTGATTCTTAGTATAAAATCATAAATACTTATCGTAAACTAAGACTATCTCATATTTAACTAATGAATAAGGTCTATTTAATAACACAAAAACTTCTCTTTGCATTAGATACCATTAGAAACTTCGCGTTGATCGAAGCCAATTAACACGCTAAAAGCGTCATCTATTGAGCTTCATGAGTAATCTAGGTGTAATTATGGATAAGCCATAGCCATGCTTCGCACGAATGGGCCGGCTCGACTGGAGTAATACTACAGCCTCACAGAAGACTGACGTGAAACAACGCTCGCGTTGTGTTTCGTTATGTGAGTGAGGTTACCGGAGGCCCAAATACTCCCCCGCCCCCCTTCCCAACCCCTGTTTCCCTAATAATCCCCCAATACCTAATCCCAAAAGGCCGGAAACGCACTTGTAACGCCTCTGATGTTCCAGGTCTTCCAAGCGACGCCGATTGCTTACCTTCAGGTGATCCGTCCACTCGTTTACCGGGTTATGCAATAAAAAAAATACTTATAATGTTTAGTAGTTTTCTACCGCGGGTTTTTTTAATTTTTACTTTATCATCAAAATCAAAATACGTATCTCAATACGTATCTGATGGATAACAACTTACCTCCGTGATTGATTTGTTAACTCCTATGTGGTGGGTGTACAATAACAAATAATGTGTAACGTTCTCTCACTTCATTTTGACTACTCCATGTAGTATTAGGTTCAATTGACAATAGATATTTTCTTCATCACCAAAGAAACAGATGAAAACTTCAAATTCACAATCATTTATCTTGGGAATCAGATAAACAGTTTATCAGGTATAAAACATTTTACTGTCTTTTATCGATTTTTTGTTATCGTGTTATTTATTGTAGCAATACCTAGAAACAATGATTTGAATATTTTTATGAATATATATCCCGACATTACATGACACTTAGGTACATTTGGTTTAGGTGAAAATATCCAAAATCATATTTTAAGCTGCATTGGCTTATTACAATCAGATCATTCATAGCTGGACTCATGCCTTTCTCAAAGCACAACAACGAACTAGACTTTTAATTATTCGAACCTAACCACTGTTAATTCTTCCTGCTGATATCATCACTCTGCTAAGTAGAGGGCGCCTTACTTACGTTTGCCGTGGTGTAGTCTCCGTATCAGGCCACGTTTATCTACTCTAAAATCCATGTATTCAACAGCTATATTGATAGTTGACTATTGGGTTAAGTAATGTGAGGTACGTCTTTTTATTTAGTCTCCAAATTATTTATTTAGTCACTTGTTGAAATACCAATTTGTATGTAGTACTTAGGTTTCCATTCAGAATGAAAACACGCTGTTAAATAAATGTGGTTTTGAAGAAATATTATCTGAAGGCTTGTAACAACATAATTATGTAAATACTTTTTTTTTAAGCGGGGAAAATCATCGTATTACTGCTCCCGCCTGGGTGAGGCGGAAGGGAGTGTCAGACTCTTACTGACTAAAAACCACCCCGTTCCTTCTTCTGCACGTCGAGCCGGAGCCCCGGTTACCCGTTAGGTTCTCCGCGACATGTAAATACATATTATATTTGCTATTATAATCATAATAGGTAAACCAAAATGCTTTTATAATCATATGATTATATTTATATTATAGTTTATGTTAATACTGTCGTAAGTAAGCTATATTTATTTGATTTTGAACGAGTATATGATATCTTGTTACTATCTTGTTTGGTTTTACAGATAGGTATGAATTCGACTAGACTAAAATGACGAACGTATCATTCTATACATCGTGGTTTTCGACGATAGTAGATACTATATAGTATGTTTAACACGTAGCCGGAAAACTTGGTAGCATTTTGTTGCTTTAAGTGTGGGAGAGCCATGCTTTGGCACGAATGGGCCGGCTTGACCGGAGCGATACCACGGCCTCATAGAAAAGTGATGTGAAGCAACGCTTGCTTTGTTGTTTTGTTAGGTTAACGGAGGCCCAATAACCCCCCCCCCTCCTCTTCAATCCATGAATCCTCAAACTCCTAATCCCCAAATTCCAGTAACGCACTTATAACGCCTCTGGCGTTCCAAGTGTCCGGGTGACGCCGATTGCTTACCATCAGGTGATCCATAAGCTCGTTTACCGGCTTACGTATACCATAAAATATGTAAAGTAATAAAACAATTCTAAATAGAATCTTTAAAGATCTTAAGGATACTAGTTGACCCGGCAATTTAACTTTCCCTGAACTTCCTCGAATATTTCAAGACCAATTTTCAGCTAAATCAGTTCAGCCGTTCTCGAGTTTTAGGGAGATTAACGAATGGAAATTCATTTTTGTTTATATAGATAGATAGAAAATAAATATTGACAATAGTCTCTCCTTTATAGGTGTTCAAATAATAAAAATAACTAATCCATTTTGTGAATAACCGCATGTAATGACCCTCAGACATAATGTGAATCGTTTATTTAAATGCATTATTTATTTATGTAATTTTTGTCAAGGTTACTAGTATTAGAATGTTTTATCGTCGTAAATACATCGTTTATCAAATAATTTGAGTTCATACTCACCTTCACGGTACATAGAACTGTGCCAGGTTGATTGACCTGATTTTCATAGTGTCATATGTTTCCTGGTTCGTCTCTAAAGTTTATTTCATCGTTTTTTATTAAAACATGAATACGGGGTGTAAACGGAACACGGAACACTTCTAATAAACGAAGACAGGTGATGGTAAAAATATCTCTTATATGTAAACTAGCTTTTACCCGCGGCTTCGCTCGCGTCACAAAAGAATAAAAAGTAGCCTATGTGACATATACCAATACGCACAGCGTCATCTAAACCAATACTTTTATTTTTCCTCGGGAATATCAATTTTTCCGCGTTAAAAAGTACCTAAAGTAAGTGTAAAGTATTATTTAATCCAGACTTCTAACTTTACGTCTGCAAAAATTCAAAGCAGTCGGTTGAGTAGTTACGGCGTGAAGGTGGAACAAACAAACAAACAAACAAACTCACTTTCAGATTCATAATATTAGTAAGGATAAGGATGTAATTGTAGACTGTAACTACTCAAGGCTGACGTTGCACGAATAACACGAAAACAAAATCGATTAAAATTGTAAAAATAATTATTTTTATGTCCTCGTTTTCGAAAGCACTCCGTTTTTTTTAAGGGGGAAAACCATCGAATAACTGTTCCCGCCTGGGAGAGGCGGGAGGGAGTGTCAGACTCTTACCGACTTAAAACCACCCCGTTCCTTCTCCTGCACGTCGAGCCGGAGTCCTGATAACCCGTTAGGTTCTCCCCTTTATACAATTAGAGGAGGCACATGTTCAGTAGGGGACGTCTTATAGCTCATAATTAAAATGATGATGATTATTACCATGTTAAGTGGGTCTTATGTTATTGAAAGTTTATATTAAATTATAATACTATTGTAGATAGGTACTAATATTGCACTGTCGTAATCATAACATGATCTTATCTTGCCTTCGGTCACATTATCGATAATGAGTGTATTCAACTTTGTCCTGTCTTTTATGTATGTCCTTAATTTATCATTCCTGTCGTACCTTCTTCCATTATTATAGGAGAGAGATAGAATCTCTCTTAATTACAGTTCATGAACTTATTTCTAAAATAATTCTTGCAGTATATTTACGTACTATTTTATTAATTTTCTTACAATTATTCTATGACTATTTTATTATTACCTAATACTAATCACAACGTCGTCTACTCAACAAGCTTTTAAGTTTCCTAAATTTTTTACTAATTCGGTGTATATATCGATGCCTCTGAGGAAAGTCTCGACGTTTATGTATTCGTCTTTAGCATGTATCCTCGAGATAGTGTTGGACTTAGTTGTAAAGCCTAGAGCTGGTATGCCGAGGTTACGGAGGACCATAATGTCAGACGTCGCCGGACACACCATGGATCTAACTGTAATACCCCTGAAACAATTTTAATATTAGTTTATGAATAATGTGAGTATTAATCAAAGAAAATTCTACCATGTACATGATGTACAATAATTATAATAAATAACGAGTAATAGATTTCGGGTTCGATCCCTGAGTCTATTCAAATGTTTATTATTAACGAATTGGCTTTTCAGATTTCCGAAATGTTCCATAGTGACTTTAATACTGCCACTATAACGTTGTATGATGATAAGTTAGTCCCTTATTGCTATAAGTAGTTTAAAATGACGTTAACTAAGTATTTAGAAAGATAACAGTCTAATATTGATCTGACATTGGTACGTAATGGTTATGGAGACCTACCCTAGATGGCTTTGCGCAAAAAAAAACTAAAAATAAGGCGGTTTTTATACTTACATGTTGTTCAAAGTATTCTTAAACGTTACCCAATATGGGTTAGAACTGTCTAAAGCAGTGGGCAGCGATACTTGCTCATGACGTATGTACGATAACTCTGTACCGTTTCCGGCTTCCCGCACCCAAGAATCCACCTGAAATAATAATATGAACATTAAGAATCAATACATAAATATGTACCTTGATACATACATAGTGTTACAGCTGTTCATTATAAAGTCATGCGTCACAATGTAATGGACTTATTTCCTAATACAACTGGCTACCGTACCTACCTAATTTAAATTTATTCACAGGCAATTGGTTACTTAAATTTAAGAGGTAGGTAATGTAGTTTCATTGTATCTCTTTTTATTTTAAAATTGATTTTATATCATTACAATATATACCTACTTATCGTGTATGATCGTGTAGTAAGACTACTTACAAATTAATGCAGTTTAACAACAGACAGCAGATTCCTATCAGACTAATAAAAGATGCACACCTATTCAAATGAATAAAACTCAAGGACATCTCAAATTGATCTGGCATTATAATAATTAACTGCACAACATGATATTGTGTAAAATTCCCAAACATAATTACTTACAGTACAGGTAACGCCATCTAGATGACGTACTGAAAACAATCAGGACTATTGTTTTCACCACGTTGTTCAAAGCCAGATAAGTACACCACTTATGTTAAGTGCTATGCTATAACTATAAAAAAAATTAAACCTTACATTAACGGGCCCACTAGATGGCGTTAATACAGAGTAAGCTCATATTTATCCAATGGTCCTATCATATGATTGTAGCTGTCAAAATTCGCTGTCCAATGATTTGACACTAGGGCTAAATAAAACCTAACACTCCCTTAGCATCATCTGGTGACTGAAATCGAAATAATAACTTACCAAAGCTTGCATTTCACTAGCTTCAGCTTCGGGAGCCAGCCTCATGTCGACAACAAGAGACATTTTCGAAGGAATTATGTTTGGAGCTTGTCCACCCTGTAACATGGCGAAAAACATATTTTACGGATGTAATAATCTTTTCATGTCTTTCCTCTCATATTTATTTTTTGTTGTCCTTTGCGTTTATGTGTACAATAAAGAATATTATTACGCCTTTACCATTCACGGCACCATAGGGTTCCGGTCATTTGGGAGGCGTACGAGAGGCGCAGTCCCCGGTTAGTGTAGAACTATTGTGGATAATGGATAAAAAAGTTACGGCTATGGTTGGGTTGTTGTGGACCGGTAAATTGGAAACTATGGATGACTATGGCACCTACCGAAACAATGTAATTATTACACATAAAAATGCCAATTCACCGGCCGGGCCCCGAGAATAGTAGCTAGATATAGCAACAGAGGGACAACGAGAATTTGAGTGGCTGAAGGGTTAAGAAACTACCACCGTGTTCTACTCAGATCATCTGCTTCAGCCGAACCCTCCTGCATCCCTGGCCCACTCGCGACTTACGAATAGTTTCTTACCCTCCGAGCAGGATCACTGCTCTCGCGACTCCACTCTGGACGGCCAATGAAGACAAGTCAGAGGTGGGAGACCTGTTTCTCGTCATCGTTCACTCCAGCCAGCAAATTAAAGCAAGCTGGAGAATAAGGAACGGTGACTTCTCCCTGGAGCCCTCAGTGTAATGGTTATTATTATGACACGTAATTGTAATAATAAGGTTGTTAACTAATCTAAAAAACAAAATACCATCATACACTATTTCCCAAGATATTCATCAGATTCACTAGATACACAACACAAAAGTAAACATATTTTTAGGTAGGCTTTACATATATACTATACATACGTACATAGTAGACATACAATCTAATCGTGACATGACCTAGTTAATGATGAGTAATTCCTGTCATTTACATAGTCAGATAACGAAATAATTCTCAAGTATAACCAAACCTATTATTTAATAGTTAAAATATTATGCTGATTTGGTAACGTTCGTTGAATAAACATGAGTTACAATTACTAGGTACTAGGCACATTTATAATATAACTTTCGTGAGACAGATTAAAATAATAATTATTTTTTCGGTCAGTAGCAGCGCGACCGCCACCGTATCATTGGTCGTGGAATGTTGCTCATGAATATGAGCTGCATCATCTCTGCTTCACCCAAATGTCAGACTGGGAGAAAATGCCTGCGGCATTAAGTCCACCTTGTGTACACTTTGTGCATGAAGCGTTAATAAATAAATAAATATGAGCCTCTAGCATGGCTTGAAACTAGTCGAGTTCCTAGTCCCGTATGTTCTTTGGTTTACTTACGTAATTATTTGCGCGAGTAAGCCGAAAACATAATAACAGCATATTATAAAATAAAAGAATATCTAAGGTTTCTTTTATCCTACACTTACGTGAAACATATTGATATTGATACTATTGAATCCAGTGTAATCGTTAGCATTCTTCGTCCTCGTGATGTCTTTCTGAATTTCTCTGTACGCCATGATAGTATCCATTAACTTGTGAAGCTGAAAGTAGTTAAACAAAACCAATTAAAGAGTGACACAAATTATAAGGGTATCTTTGAGATAACTCCAACTTGAAAGTAACGATTTTCAAATTAACATTAAATGGTGGAATTAATTATATAACATTCTAGATTATCAACTAAATCCCTATGCTAAGAACTCACTATGAAGCCAACATTACATAAGTTGAGTCACTCTTGTTTACACACTTTGCTCATAATTCCAGTCATTAATCCCATATAAAAGTCTTAAAACTATGGCTACCTACTCTATACCTCGTTTACTGCCAATAAGACCATAAGTAAAAAAAGTTCGTATTAAATAATTAGTTTATATAAATTATTATTATTATTTTTTCATTAGGTATTATTATATTTCATTATTATTATTTTTTAAGGTGTAAATATTTAAATCTAATTAAAGTACTAGTTTATATAAATACGGTAGTTAGATAGTATATATTCATTATTTTAAGGTTTTACCTTTTCAGCAGCAGTTTCATCGGCTATTGAAGAACCATGACCGCCTTCTCCATGGACTGTGAACTCCATCTCTATAAAATTTATTGAGTATTTTTATTACCGATTTTATGTGAGCAGAATTGTCTCTTGTGTCGTATGACTATTCATACTAGAACAAAAAATGTTTATGCATCACAAAAATATAAGCAACATTTCGTATATTTGCGGGACGAATCCGTAACATGATCTGCAGCAGCCGATTGTCACTGACTGAGCTAACCGTACAATTTTATGTAGGAACTTTTTACATGTTTATTGATGTCCTAACAATGTGGCCGTAATCGTTTAGGTGATATATGCAGATCAAGTTCAAATTGTGGTGCATAAGTCTTGAATATATTAGGTCCCTTTTCACCAACGAAACTGATCACGATTACACCTAACAAAACTGATTTAAAGCGTCTAATCGAATTTAAAGCGTTTAAACGAAGTTACAGCTTCATTTTACATTTCACCGCTACAAACAGAAACTAGTTTACACGGAACTCAGTACAGAAAACACAGAACACAGAACTTAGGTTACTTTAAACTTAGGTTACGTGTAACTGAGTTTTTACAGAGCTTGGTGAAAAGGGACCTTAGAAACCTTAGACTTATGTACCTATAGTATATGAGCGATAGACATTCTTGATAAACGATATTCAAAATTCAAATACTTACGCCAAGGTCTCCTGTCTATATAAGTGGCGATCAAAGTGTCGTCACTAGATGCCAGTCCTTCGTCTAAAGCGAAACCAATGTTCAGGGCCTTAAATTGTTTTGTTTTAACAAACGCCTGCATACCATTCTTGCCGCCAGTTTCTTCATCTGAAAATATTTGTCATCGTCCTTTAGCCTCTTATCCCTTACTTTCTTAAGAAAAAAATTATATCACACTGTAACGGAAAAAAAGTAAAACGTACTTTCGCATTTATATTATTAAGCAAGCTAGTAACAAATCTTTGTGAAAACCGAAACAAATGACATTCCAGCCCACTTATTTTAAGGAGGGAAAATTATCAAATGGGTTTTACTTCGATATAAAGTAAAAAAAATTTTTTTCATAAATATTTTTTTATAATTTTATAATAACTATCGTGAGACATATTAAATTAACTAAAATCGCGGGGTACTCACGTGAATGTACTGAAAAAAGCTCTACTAATTTCGAGCCACAGATGAGTTCTTCCTCATGAGCGACGTAAGCGGTCGCGGTCGCGGCGACGTCAGTGAGCTGCGCGACGTGATATTCACGTGAGTAACCCGCAATTTTAGTTAACTTTTTTTTAAATGTTGTCCCTCATTAGGATTTTATTCTGTGTCGTGGGTGCGTTTTCAAACATACAATTTTACATACACATGACACCCAGACCTGAAACAACAATTTGTGAATCACACAAAGAGTTGCTCGAACCGAACCCGCTACACGTTGCACGGTGCTAACCGTGCAGTATATAGGTACGCAAACATATCCTCAGTCCAATTTTTGAGATTTCATAAGTGTTCCGTATTTATACTAATTCAAGTTGGTTGGGATCTCAGGACTTTAAGCAATACTGTAATAGGTATATTTAACCAACCTGGCATGACAGTCATATGTATGGTTCGTTCTAAAGTGATGTTATCCTTTTTGAATTTGCGAAGAACTTCCATGTACACCACACCTATGTCTTTAGTGTCTTGTGTTCCACGCCCAAAAATGTCACCGTTGGCGTCCATATAGCCTGCGAAAGGTGGGTACATCCATTCGGTCTGAAAAAAATCATAAATCGGTCTGGAAACACATACTCTGACTAGTGCTGTACCATAAGTTTTAATTGGTATTAACTATTCGTAGGTTGGGAAAGGTAATTTAAAGTAAATGCCGTTCGTAAATTAAAATTACTACCAAATCTATTACATAATTATCTTCAATTGACTTTATTGCAAAAAAATAAGGTAAAAAATCTACATATTAAAGTGACATTGAAGGCTTGCTACCGTTACTATTAGTATTTCTTTAGTCCTCAATTTGTATTAGGTAAGTAAGTTTTTTTATAAGGTTTGCTAGTGACGTGTCTTTCTATAATGTATTTCTTAGTAAAATACTATTTCATAAATTACAGAAGCGCGTAGTCTTTTCAAAAAACTTGCCTTGAAGTAGGTAATACTCAGGTATTAAGCACTCAGGGTATTGCACCTACATGGTTCTACGTAAAACATGACCATGACGCAAAACTACTTATATTTCACTATTTTTATTTATTAACTTTTTGAAATTATACTTTTTATGTTTCCGTGTATTACCAGCCAATTACAAGTTTAAAAGTGTCGAAGGATAATTGACAATATTTGCAACTAAATGTAAGTAGAATGTAATATCAATTGAATAAAGTGCATTTTGCCATTCAAACTATAAAGTGGATAAGAAACTTGTTACAAGTGTCAATAGAGGTTAATGACTTTTTACTTCATGTATAGGTAGGTACTTATAACATATCATGTATTGACTCACTGATTGGCCGACTGACTGATTCGTCATCGCCATTGCCGAGCGCAAACTATCCATGAAATTCAGACTGATTGTATATTCACTTTGTTATGTAAACATAGGAAGGATTTTGAAAAAATCCTCCCTTAGGGCATGATAGTTTGTATGAAAGTTGATCATTTTGAGAGTAAAATTAACCAAATTTTGTATTTCGATTATTGACATAAAACAAAACATATGCGTGTTTAATCTTCTATTTCAGCCCTTATTAAGTAAAAATTTCAAAATCGCTAATTTTGAAATTTTTACTTAATAAGGGCTGAAATAGGAGTTGGACGCTCGTTGTATAATCAACTTTCAATTAGTATCGAATATAAAATCGAGAAATTTGGATAATTCTCACTTACGTCATTAGATTTCCGAAATTTCTTAAATTTATGTTTGCTAATGCCAATATAAAACCGCGTTAAATGGTCTGACGCACGATACAATTTATTAAAACGTACTTATATTTTTATGAATAAGTTACTTCCCATGATAAACGCGTAATTTGAAAAAAAGTATGTAAGACTTTTGATTTAAATTAAATGCATATTATCTACGTAAATGAAGACCTTCTTCATTATCTTATACTCTTATACTATTATATAAAGCGGAAGACTTTGTTTGTTTGTTTGTTTGAACGCGCTAATCTTCGAAACTACGGGTCCGAATCGAAAAATTCTTTCTGTGTTGGATAGCCCATTTATCGAGGAAGGCTATAGGCTATAAAACATCCCGCTACAATTAATAGGCGTCGAGCAGAGCGAGTGAAACCGCGCGGAAGTAGCTAGTATAATTATAATACTGTTTCCGTCCGTTACTGCGAAAACAGGTATATACAGAAAAAAACTAGTAGGACAGTTTATAAGTTGATTTAAAGTCTTACCTCATCAACTGTGACCACGTCCATGTGTGAGTTGAGCATTATACTGGGTAGAGAAGGGTCGGAGCCCTCCAGCGTAGCCACAAATATTGGCTTGCCGGCCGGAGCATACACCGTGTAAGGCAAGCCCGCATCATTAGCTTGACTTACCCAGAAATCCACTGCATGTTCTGTAAATAAAAAATATAAATTTAAATACGGGAATTTGGGAAAGCGTGCTCCATCGTAGGCTGCATCAACACATACCACCAGGTAAGAGAAAGGCAATAATACTCTTTAGTTACAACTATTACAGGAGACTGAGGGCTTTGTACGAGTTTATTTTTCGTTTAAAGTAATCGAAACGAGAACGCGTCCGGCCCTCTGATTGGTTGGTTCATTGGAGCCGGCCAATCACAGCGCCGAACGCGTACTCGATTCGATTACTTTTAACGTGAAAGAAACTCGTACTAAGGCCTCTGGTCATTCCATAGGAATTGGACTAAGTGTAGCTCAGAACCGGGAGGCGCAACAGAATCTATACGAGTACGAGGAGATGTGAGGAAAAGAAGTAGTCTGAACTAACAAGTATAATTATAATAAACTGCATCATAGGCAATCGTTTATATTTATTATTTATTGATTATTGTTGTTTTTTATGGAATAAGAAGCAAACCAGCAGACGGATCACCTGATGTTAAGCGATCAGCGCCGCCCATGGACACTCGCAACACCAGAGGAGTCACTGGTGCGTTGCCGGCCTTTTAAAAAGGAATACGCCATTTCTTGAATAACATATACCTATTTATTATAAAATATTGTTACCTATGTAAATATTTGGCTATAGCATGCATATTGGTAAATACCTACCTATTTGTGTGGGGCGACATAACCTTAACCCTTAGAGCGCCACGTCAGTCACCGGTGCCTGACGCTAGTGGAGGTTTGACTTTCACCATTTTAAACTTGGCAGTTAAAGTATTAACCTAGCGACCCGTTACACTGACAAGTGATACCTAATAAGATAAAGTATAATATCTTTCAATCAAGCAAACGATGTTTCCAATGTAACTACTTCAGCCGTAGTCAAAGTCAAAGTTTCGTTTGTGAATGCGTATGTATACATAAGTGAGCGATCATTGGCAAATATAAATAAGTTCTCTTATTATAAACAGTGGCTGCACTGCGTGACAAATGTTAAAATGTGATGGAATAAACTGATAAATATTAAAATTACTATTATCTACGAAACAGGTTCTTACATGAATTATACATGGACCCGTTTTAGTAACCGACTTCTCTAACAAGAAAACTATCATACAATTGTTAAGATATATTACCGTATATATATTTTTTTAAATCTGACGGCATACACAACAGTACTTACTAAGTTTCTTTGAAAAGTTTTTAGACTTATATTTCACTGACATTAGATATGCAATGTGTTAATATGCAAAGAAAAAATAACAAGGTCAACTTCGAACGTAAGAAATATCATATTTGTTCGTTACAGCTAATTAAAATACGTCATTTCATAATTGTGAATAAGATAAAGGGTTAGGGTTTACTGGGTTCAACTTCATCCTCTCGTGAAAGTCGCGAAATACATCTCAATGTGATCCATACATTGCGTTTTGGATATAATTATGATAGACTAGCTTTTACCCGCGGCTTCGCTCGCGTCACAAAAGAATAAAAAGTAGCCTATGTGACATATACCAATACACACCGCCATCTATACCAACACTTTTGTTTTCCCTCGGGAATATGAAATTTTTCCGGAATAAAAAGTACCCTATTATTTAATCCAGACTTCTAACTTTACCTCTGCAAAATTTCAAAGCAATCGGTTCAGTAGTTACGTTGTGAAAGCGAAACAAACAAACAAACAAACTCACTTTCCGATTTATAATATAAGTAAGGATTAGATTCTGCCAGCGGCTTAACGATTCCTAAGCTGTGGCATAAAAAGTGGCCTATGTATATATCAGACCATCTACCAGTGTTCCTAATTTGATTTCGATCCTTCAGCTGTTTTGATATGGAGGACTAACAAACAAACAGTCTAGAGTCTATGTCTGTTTATAAATGCACCTACAACGCAGCAGAAAATCTCATACTGAAAAACCATTTGCCCGTGACTACACGCGAAGATAATAAGGTGTTTATAAGTAGTATGTTTGTTCGTGTTTGTTCAGCAGTGAATTTTTTGTGCCTGGTATCGGTATGTTGAAGTAGTGTGTACTTCTCAGCTTTCTACGACGAATAGGTATCTACATACGATCGTAGTGCGGCTGCTCATTGTCTTTGTAGTTGCTAAGTCTTGAGTAATAGAATCGTATTACACATTATTGATTGATTGCAATACTTTTTGTACTGTACGACTGTTATCAGTAGTAGGCGTATTTTCGTGATAACACGGTCGAGCTGCAGCGTATCTATTAAATACTATGTCAAAGATCAAACCACCAGCACTGGCATACGTAACTAGAACTACTAGTATTATATAAAATCTATTATTCAACATTTTACCTCTATATAACATACCTATGTATATACTACTTGTGAAAAAGTCAGCGAACTGAAATGGACGGGCAAACCCAACGAATATGGTTTTTCCAAATAAAATAATTAATTTAATCCTTGCTTCCACTTGCGTGAAGGTTAGATTTTAATTTTCATAACATTATTTATGTGGTTATTTATATAAAATCGTAGATATATAGATTCGTTGACTAGGTACGGTAATCTACTGTATCAAAAAACTTATCTAAGAGGAAGATAAGAGGTCATCTAGCTGATACTATACATGCGTGATCTATACTAGTTACGACACATGTATATACTGTTGAAAGAATATGAAGTAACAGTCAAACTAAATCTATATAAATTTAATCATTTATTTAATTCGTATAAAACAGGAAACTATAAACTTACCGAAGTAAGATAATTAATTGCCAGAATAATTTGTATTCTAATAAATTATATTAAAATTTATTTTACAATAGGTGAAACAAAAATGGTTGTTTACGTATTTTCATTGTTTTCGACGGTCGTAGATAAAGAAGTTTAGTAAATAAATCATGTCACTAGCCGACTTCAATTATGGAAGAACTTACCTATTATAAACACAATATTATGGCCTCCAATACAATTATCTCAAATCTGTTAAAAAAATTTATTGTTTTATAAAATTGCAGAAGTGTATTCAACTAGTATATTTTAACTACTGCACTGATGTTTTGTTGTAAGTCCGATTTTTTATTAGGAGGGTAAATCAATGGTAACTACTTTTTTGGGATTGAACAACGGACACAGCTCCAGAGGAAATAAAATTAAGGAAGAGAAAAAGACGATTGTTTTGATAACATAAATAGTTGCTTCTAAATTTCATGGAATAAGTACGTTAGATTAAATAGAAAAAATATTTAATGTACTTACTGATATTTTCTTCTCGGCTGGTGTCTATACGGATGTATTCTATCAATCTCTGGACTGCATCCAGTTCTAGATATTTTGAATATCTGTTCCGTAAGGGCCCAGCGTTGCTAATGTGTGTCGTAGATAAAATACCCAGAAGAATAAAGGATAACAACATTCTGCTGCAAAAATAAAACCACTTTTATTGTTCGTAATTCAAAAATAATTGTTATGGTTAATTGTACCTCTACACATTTAATTACAGTGATAATTCTTTTTTATGTATTTATTTTATTGAGGGTAACATTGATAAAAGTATGTCAAAAACTTTAAACTAAAAATAACATAATTAAAATGGATTACTGTTAACTGCTTAGTTATAATTTTATCACGGTGCTTCAAACAAACGTTATATCTAATTACATACAATTTTACAAACTATATATACCAAAAAAATATTGTCTGCATCATTTTATTTTCGAGAACAATGACTTCAACCAAAGCGTTTATTAAATTTGGAATAAAAAGTATTTAATTACATACTCACAAGGTGAATCTAAAGTTGTTTGGATAATTGTGTATTTTCGGCCAAAAAATAAATGTGTGTAATTAACTTACGTGCTGGTCATAATATTCGCGTATTATTTGGTAATTATTACGATATGGTGTTTTAGCACTGCGATGTATGCTCTCGTCGAGCGAATATTTCACACAGACCGATCATATGCGAGAAGGACTTTATATTATCTACTCCAAAATATTAACTTTACCTCACTATAAAATCGCAATTACATTTCACCATTCACTGGCACAAAAAACAAGTAATAAGTCAATCTACCGGCGGGACGAAACACATTGTACTATTTGGGTAGGAAATACACATGTTTTTGTATTATTTTATCTGTATTTGTATTAAAAGGTTAAATCGAACGAAGTGTCATGAAGGTAATTTGTTAAGCAGACACGGTTATCTGTTGAAATGCTCGTATTGAACTAGTTTGTTGTTATTTGCATTTATTCACAACACTGGCACTTCAGAAAATGTTTGCTTGAAAACTGATTAAGTATTGACACCGAAAAAACGATTGGAGGAAATCAGAAAAATGTTATGTTAGCTTATTAATACTTTTTTAAATGTCCTTGAAGCGAATATTTGCTTTGGTAATGATGGGATTCTTTTATAGTCTTCGTTCGACTCCGTCCCGTGCGCTTGTACCATTTTAGTTTCATATGATACGTCATAACCCATAGTAGACTGTTGTAAAATAAATAACTTGATATTTTTACCAGAAACCGTACAGTACAGTAGATAGTAGATACAGTACATTTTTGCCAATCACTTTTGCTAAAGTAGATACCTATAGGCTGCAAATCATTACAACTTAACTTGAGTTTGACGTCCTGGCACCTATAGCACCCAACATTGACTCCTGACCTACTTAAGTTTAAATAAAAATAAATTACCTATTTATTACGCAAGCAGTTAATTCTTATCTGCTTTGTCTATGGTTACCTTTTAAATTTTGAAATAAATATCTAAACACACATGCGCATAAAAATGTGTTTTTTTTATTTATTCAGAACACAATTTTCACGCGATAACGCGACAGTTAAGATAGAACTTAAATATTATATGCACATTAAGGCACTTTAGGTATAAAGTGCCGTAAAATGTTTACACCTAAATGCCTAACTGACTAGCCCGCCAAGCAGGAGATATTATAGTGCACAAGTGTTTGCGCAAACACAGATGCATTCTATGTTCCGTCACCCTCTGTACCCGGTGGGACGTCAGACTGACACGAACGGAGAGAGATCAGGCGCAGGACCAACAGTTTTACGTGCTTTCCGAGGCACGGGGGGTGAAACATAGCCGAACTTCTTGACTTCAGGCTAATAATGATCATTTTTTGTCGCTGTTTGGCCGGCGCCGAACATCGAACCTGCGACACGTTGCACTTTGTCAAATAGCCTCCTCATCTACCTCAAATAACTCCGGATAATGACAAGCAGATGAAGGTTTGTTAAAAGATTTCTATTGAAATTAAAAAGTATTACAACAACGTCAAAATAAGTATAATATTATTATTAATGGTATAAAAAATATAATGGTATGTCAACGCTATTTACGTAGAGTGCTTATTTTTTATACATTTTCGAAATCAGCTGTCATTAGTTATAATACTTAATACCTTACAACAATGCCTATAATATTGATTTATTGCTAGATGTTGAACATCGATTTGAATTTATTATGTTATTAAATTTAATATATTACAAATTAATATGGTATTAACTTAATAAATATACAATAGAGAGGTACTTATTTCCAGACATGGTACTTACCTTAGCTGATTACTTCGATTAATACAAATAAAAAATACATGAAAAAATCTATTATTTTTTTCATACAAAACGTCAATAATTTCTTAAGTCTTTAAGTTATTATTTCTTATCAACTAAGTTGAGATCTTGATGCTTTAAAAGACAAATAGAGGAATCATGACATCTACAATTACATAGCACTGAATGCTTCTTACAGGCACATATTTTAGTTCACCACACACTCCGAAAGCTATTATATACTAAATTTAATCTAGTAATATAATATATCACTAAACTTGAACCGTTTTATAATTATATTCCTAGTGAATTAGTAATGAATCGCTTTCGTATAACTATGTTACGATATATAGATATATTCTTAGAGATATAACTATGTCGCGGAGAACCTAACGGGTTACCGGGGCTCCGGCGCGACGTGAAGGAGAAGGAACGGGGTGGTTTTTAGTCAGTAAGACTGACACTCCCTCCCGCCTCACCCAGGTGGGAGCAGTCATTTGATGATTTTCCCCCCTTAAAAAAAATTGATGAGCATAAAAATATCAATTTCTCTTTCTATAGATAAAGTCGGACTATTACGTAAAGTATAATCATCATCATCATCAACAACTTATAGGTTTTAATAGCTACTTGGCCACTGCTCACCAAAGGCCTATTCTCACACAGTGAAGGTTTGAGCATTAATCACCACGCTTGCTCAATGCGGGTTGGTGTCATTGGTGATTTCAAACTTATAAATACAAATTACAAGCCCCGGTTTGCTCACAATGTTTTCATTCACCGTTGTCTAAATAATCTTAGAAAGGACATATAAGTCAGAAAGAGCGCTTATTTATGAGAAGGGAAACATCTTAAACCTCCGGGCCACCACTAATAAAGTATAAGTGTAAAGTATAATAAAACAGTTCACTTAAATATGTTTTTATTAACCATATATAATTATAACTTATATTTATCAGCAATATAATATACATAATTTTGTTTTCTAAGATGAAGGGACATTAGCTAATCCCTTGAGTACTTCGGTATAAATATCTATACCTCTTAGGAACGTTTCTACATTTTGATACTCGTCTTTGGCATGAAGTCTAGGAATAGTTTTGGTTTTTGTTGCAAAACCAATAGTTGGTATACCCTTGTTTCTTATAAAGGTTGCATCAGACATGGCTGTTTTGACTACTGGCTCTAATCGGATGCCCCTGTAACGAAAAAATATTTTAGAATAAGTATTACTATCATAATTTTTGTCTTGTTTACGAAATTTTTTTATATAATGTCAATTCTTATTGGTGACTAATAATTTTTATTACGTAGGTAGCAATCAATATATCTATAAATCAGACATATACAATAAACATAGATTTTGACAATTGATTTAATGGTTTTATTTACTTTTCTTTTTGTAACATAGACTACCTTGTCTTCAAACATTGCAACACAAAGAAACGGTCCTTGCAATAAAAACGGTTACTGCAATAAAAGGTCCTAAATGAATTTTGATGAATATTTAATTGCAGTTTTTATAATTTTAAACAATTAGCATGTTTATATTTAAGACAAAAATATTAAATATTAGAATTCTTACATTCGACTTAAAGTGTTCTGCATGGAAACCCAGAAGGGATTGGTACTGTCGACTGATGTTATTCTTGATTCAGTGTCATGTCGAAGGTATGTCACCGAGTTGTTGTTGCCAGCTGCTCTTAACCAGGAGTTTATCTGCATAGAAACATTGAAATATTATTAAAAGCTAGGCTATTATTAGATATTTGCAATAATATTTTCAAAAATTGTGCCCAATATTTGACTATAGGCTCTCCACTTACGAATATAACATCGGACTCATAAAGGAGATAACCGTAGGTATAGTAAAAGGTGGGTGTTAGGTACATCGTTATGTGTACCTTGGCCTACCTCTATGTAGATTACAAGACGCGACAATAAATGGTTTGACAATTTCGGCAATTTTATAGCCTGATTTAAAAGATGTAGCCCGGAGTCTAGAAATGTGTCCGGTATATGGCAATAGGCTCATAACATAAATAGTGAAAAGTGGGTGTTCTTCCTCTGTGTGCTCCTCTGCCTACCTCTTCGGGGATAAAAGACGTGATGTTATGTTATGTGTATAGCCTGATGTGGCTTGACGTCTGACGTCTGATCTAGGTGATATTGAACTCACCATAGTTTCAATGTCTTTTGGGTCAGCATCTGTGGCCAGTCTCATATCCATGATTGCTTCTACCTCCGTCGCTATAACATTCCTAGCAAGTCCACCCTGTAACGTTAAACATATCTATTGTTTTAAGAAATATTCATATAATTTATGGGTGAGGGCAAAAAGAAATGTTTATTATAAATGACGGCAAATTAAAATAAATGTTCTATGTGTTACAAAAACCCGTTAAAAAGAACTTAAATCAAGAAGCGACTGAAAGTTATTCTTCGATGTCGAAATTTTCTAGAATAACCAAAAGTACACAGACATGATTTGTGTACTTTCTCTTCAGAAAATCTTTTTTGTAGTATAGGGCAGTAAACGAGCAGACTGATCAAAGCGATCGGGACCGCACATGGAGACCTGCAACACAAGACGAGTAACGGGTGCTTTGCCGACATTTATCTATCTACTCTATCGAGACTTCTAATTTCAGTTCGATGCCTGATTTTATCAGCGAAACTACATTGTTAACATGTTAACCGCCGCTTAGGTCACCAGAGACCTACGTCAGTGGAAGATTTACCTTCAACAGTTTTCTGTCGGCAGTCAAAGGCTTACTAATAAAAAATAATAACTGAAATAAAGATGTAGGTAAGTATTAATTAGACTGGAACTTTGTTAAACTGTGATTTTAAGTTTGCATAAGACCTTGAATTCTTTATTTACAAACTCAGTAACAATCCACAAGATTTTATTTTGATTTTCAATTATAAAAATTGTATAAAATTTTGTATGATGACATTTAGACAAATAAGATTTTGTAACATTGTCTAAACTTAAAATGAACGGCTATTTTATATGTAAAGACTGTATAGGAGCAGAGCATTGTTACTAAATAAAAACTGGTATTTAACCATTACATAAAAAAAATCACGAATATTATTTTAAGTAAGAAGCGGAAGACGTATACTGCAAAAAGTTTGCGAATAAGATTAAAAAAATATATGACACTAGTGAAACGCTGACACACTCCCTCCGACTCGGTGCGCTGCGAACTGAGCTACCATTTTAAATTATTAGGTAGTTCTGTAACGTATTCAAGCTAGGCTAGATTTTTATAATAACTATCGTGAGCCTACCTACTAACCTAAGTAAAATATGCAACAAGGTCAACTTGTTTCAAGCCACTTTTGGACTCACAGTCGTAACATAAATGTAAGATTTAGGTATTACCTTGACTATATTGATGTTGATACTTGTGTAAGTCGCTGCACCTACAGTGCTGTTAGCGATAGATTTCAGAATTGCTTTCTGTGTGTCTTTGTAGTCATACACAGCGTTTAGAAATGTGTGAAACTGAAAACAAACCGCAAACAAACATTAACACACAATAAAAATTTTATACATAAATTAGTAGATCGCCAGATGACGATGTAATATAACATCTACTTTTCAAACTATGCCTTATAACATTTAAAACGGGAGATTTGCAAAAGAAATAACACTTATAACGACACGAGCATAAACGATTGTCCCTGACTTAAAATAAACGAGTCATGGAGTTATTTAAATGAAGAAATTCGCATTCCACCATGCACAGGACAGAACCCGTTAGACGGTTCGGCACCAAATACAGGTAAAATCTTTTTATAGCTAGTGAATCTGGATTCGCTTTGAATCGGTACGGTGAAGTCGTTAAGATTCTTATTAAAGGCCTTGTTATTTGATACAGGTAATGGACCAAAATATAAACTGCCTGTTTTGAGTTGCCACACAAAACTTAGTAATTTTAACTGACGTTTAGCACGGAGTCTGGAATTGTGCCCGGTATATGGCAATAGGCTCACCCCCTATTACATGGGACTCATAACATAAATAGTGAAAAGTGGGTGTTACATTGTACAGTGGCATAATGTGCACCTCTGTCTACCCCTTTGGGGATAAAAGGCGTGATGTTATGTTATGTTGTTGTAATTATCGAATTTGTTCCCCACCCTGGGCGAGGCGAGTGAGAAAAAGAGAGAAAGGGTGAGAGTGAGACTCTTACAGACTAAAATTATCCCGTTCCAACTCCTGCTTTGTTTCAGCCGGCACCACGATAGCGAACCTCGGTCGGGCTTTAGCCCTAATAGATAGGGATGTCCCTAAATAGCTTTTTCGAAATAAACTGTATTTTTCTATGAATTTTGTATGAATTTTATGGCGTAAGTTGGTATCTTTAACTTTGGTAGACATACGGATGTAGTGAATAACAGGTACAGAGTGTACTTACGTTGTCCATGGCTGTACCGTCCGGCATTAAGGATCCATGGCCACCAACACCACGGATAATAAAACATATTGCTATAACATACAAAATAAAAATATTTTTGTTGATACTTTCACGAAAGAAGAGATATGTAGGCAAAGCTTTGATTCAGATTTTTTACAATAGCCGAGCCAATAGATTTTTAACGAGCCGTACGCTCGTTGGTATTTATAAGATCAATTAAAAGTAAAAGGAAGATACATCTAATTTTCTCTTAATCAATAGTACAGTAGGTACCTTATTAGTATCTATTAGGTACTACCTCCTTGTGTGTTCCTAGTTTCATACCAATAAATTAACAGTAACTATAAGTAGGTACGATTTGTCTATCTTATTATTAATTCAATTTCAAGGGATTCGTAGAAAGTAGATGTAGTAAATCAGATTCGTAGTTATTTAATACTGAACAATTTACTCCTCCCTGGGCGAGTCAAGGACTGTTAGGCCCTTACTGACTAAAAACCACTTCTTATCAACGCCAGTGAGGGTCGCAGTGTGTAGTTAAATAAAGTGGTTAGTGGTTGGTAGGTACTCACACCAAGCTCTCTTGTCAACGAAGGAAGCAAGAATAGTGTCTCCAGGTGTAGTTTGTCCTTCATCCAACGCGAACCCAACGTTTAACGTTTTGAACTCAGTCGTATTCACGAATACTCTCATGCCTTGTGTGCTACCGGATTCTTCATCTAAAACAAAAATAATTGTATGTAGTAGTAGTATGTAGTTTAGTATATTTTTATGTATAAATTCTCAAATTAGGCGTTCGTTTAGAGATATTATATTTAGACTAGAGATTACCCTTCAATATCATATCATAGTTACAAATAATTATAATACTTTGCCCAACCTGGGAATTGGCGTTGCTTGGCAGTGGCGCTTGCGATCACTTGACCACCGAGGTAACGAGTAGATGGTACTCTGACATAACCTTGCGCCCTATTATATAAACAAGATGCGAAAAACCTAGAATTATAATAACTTGCATGTATTAATTAACCTACCTGTCACAATAGTGATATGTAGAGTGCGGGGTAAAGTAACATTATCATTCTTAAGTCTCTTGATAGCCTCTAGGTACTGGATAGCGATGTCTTTAGTGTCCTGCGCGCCACGACCAAAAATGTCCCCATTTTCATCCATGTAAGCAGCAAATGGTGGATACTTCCATTCGCTCTAGAAAGATAAATTATATTTCTTATTTTTTGTGTGGTAGTTTCAGAAATAACGTGTGTACTATCAATTGAGTAGGTAGATAGATCACCTGATGGCAGGCGATCAGCAATGTATATGGACACCGTAACATCAGAAGAATTAATGTGTTGCCGAGTTTTTGGGGGGCATTGTACTTTGTGTTACGGTCAACATGACCGTACAATACAAAGTGAACATTTTTTATTAACAAATTAAATGGTAATACTAGTTGACCCAGCGAACTTGACTTAAAGAATAGTAGAATCAAAAATTGACATTATGTCTGAATTGTCCAGTACATTCACATTGTACACGTGTCATTGACCCCTAGATGAAAAATATAGGAATTTTGATTTAGGTATTGTAACTCATAAAGGTATACCTAATAATAAATGTCAGTACATTAATTAATATTAGTTACCGCTTCAACTGTGACTACGTCCATGTGTGAGTTGAGCATTATACTGGGTAGAGAAGGGTCGGATCCCTCCAGCGTAGCCACAAATATTGGCTTGCCGGCCGGCGAGTACACCGCATACGGCAAACCCACATCGTTCGCCTGATGTATCCAGAAATCCAAGCCAGCTTCTATAATAAAAACAATGAAACGAATAAAACACATCCTTTTGTTATAATTTAAATTAAGTATTCTACTGATTTTATAATAAGTAGCTAATGCTAACCGTCATAATTTATTGCACTGGAACAGGATGGAAATCAGGAAACAGATACAAATTTCAATGTTATAATATATTTCATTTGCTATGTTAAATTTCATTTGCATACATTTAAGGATAATATTTTATAATTCTAAGGAATTAAATAACATTTAAAGACAGTACCACAATTCATCATTATTTCTAAGTATCTATAGTTTTTTTTTGCGAAATCGAAGAGAAACACAATACATACGTATATTTTCTGCTTTGCTTGTGTCTATTTGTAAATATTCCCTGAACAGTTTCACTGCTGGATCGTCCAAATAGTGTTCATATTTATTCACTTTCTGGCCATTGCAATTGAGCACTAAGAAAACACTTAGCCAGATTAACAAAATCATTTTCACCTGAAAAAATATGCAAGACGTAAGTATAGGCCAGCACTATCGCGAAAAAGAATTAGGTATTGATTCTTTCTATTTTTCCTAGAATTAAATATTAGTATTTACATTTAACAAAGAATAGTTTACAAAGGTGTGTACAGTTAAAACAAATTGCGACTACCAAATCTTTAAGTTATCACCACGATGGATGTTACCGTATCATCGAATTCGGCAAGCTGTATCAACTTTTATACTAGGTCAGTCCCCGCAAACGGTTTGTGGTCGAATACGGCCACCGAATTTTTAAGTTGTAAGTTCATTAAACGGTAATAGCTGCACTTGCGATACGGGCAAATACACTCAAGCAAAGGGCTCGTTCATCGGGTGTTCATATACATTTATTTCATCGATAATTTCGAAATTAAGACATTTTTAACGGCAAATTTTTTCAATGCCAAAATATACAGTTGTAAGCGGTTGGAAACATAATTTTAATAGAAAGGTAAGTTAAGTAGGGACGTATTACGACGGACGTAACTATACGTATAATATACGTCGAAAATAGGTAACACTTGAAATATGTAAATGAAATCGAAAAACAGGAGGTAGGTAATTGAAAAAAAAAGATGCTCCTACACAGCAGTTACATAACGTTACACCACATTGTGTAACACACAGATATATCTGTGGTGTAACACGATAATATTATACGATATTATAAGTGTTGTCGTGTAACACAATGTAATATAATGTTATATAACTGCTTTAAAGAAGCGCCTAACCATAACATTATGGTGCTGTTTGATTGAAGGTAGAAATAATGAGCAAAGGATCAAAATACCAAAAACGGGTTGCATATTTCAACACAAAACTACTCTTTTTCTTAAACGAAAGATTTGACCATAAAATGTGTTTACCAGAACAACTAAGGGTCGTTGGGAAATGTTTTAGATAATATGTATTACGTAATAAATAATATTTTTGTTCTGCCCTCGTGTCCTATAAAGTTTATTAGGTAGTAGGTAGTAGGTTAGGTAGTAGGTTTAGTAGGTATAAAATGACCAGTATCAACAGCGGTCACTACCTTGTGGGTACGTACCAAACTTATCCAGGTATTAAGTATCTGTATCTGGAGATCATTTCGGGTCCATACATACACGGCCTTTTCTGAAAGTCTAACAAAACATTCCGAAATTTCTAAAAAAATAACGACTGCAAAAACTGATTTGCATTATCATCACAATCGCCTTTTTTTTAAGCGGGGAAAATCATCGAATGACTTCTCCCGCCTGGGTGAGGCGGGAGGGAGTGTCAGACTCTTACTGACTAAAAACCACACCGTTCCTTCTCCTGCACGTCGAGCCGGAGCCCCGGTTACCCGTTAGGTTCTCCGCGACTCCGAATCGGCATCGGCCCTATTGGGCCCCATCTGTGGTGGTCTGATGGCTCTTTGAGGCGCGCGCGGCGACGCGCCGTTTGCTCGGGTCTGTTTCTGGTCGGACGGGGACCCACCCATGCTCGCCGTCCGCAGGCCCGCGCTTACGGTGGCCGGAGATCGTCACGCGATCCCCGACGCCCGGTGTGTCCTTCACGATGGCTGGGTTGCGAGGAGGCAGCGCTTCGCTGCCTCACGCGTCCCGCCTCCTCCTTAGCTAGCATAACTGCTTCGCAAAAGGAGGAGACGGCATCCCAGTCCCCTTCGCTCCGCATCATGGCCTGCACTAGGCCCGGACGCGAGAGGTCGTCATCGCCAATCACTTCCCTGAGGGCACGGGGGTGCTCAGCCCACGCAGGGCATTCCGCTACAGTGTGTTCCACCGTGTCCTCAGGGCGGTCCTCGCAGTGATGACACCCGGGCGTTTCCTCCCGCCCCATCAGACACAGGTACCTCCCGAAACTTCCATATCCGGTGAGGGCCTGCGTCAGGCGGTAGGTGAGGACGCCGTAGCGTCTCACAAGTCACTCCTCAAAGAGGGGTCTTACCGCTGCAATGGCAGCGAGCCCATCACAATCGCCTTAGATTCTTTAATCTAGGAATATTGATGACTATTTTGCGTTTCTTAACTTCATTTTGGATCATAGAACTCTTACGCCATATTAACTATTGTTCCATATGGCTTGTTCTAACGATACGTACCTACAGTTTTTTTTTCGTTGACCTACACTTTTAAAAAATGCCCAAAAATGTATGGAGTCGAAATCACCAAATACATAATTATACTTAGTACCTACTTACATGCAAAAGTTAGTACCACAAGGCCACAAACTAATGTCCGCTGAAAAGTAGTAACTTTCAGAAAAGGCCTAATAAAATATCTATTTTATTAAAATGGTAAAATAATACTAATCACTAACAGTTATAAGCAGACACGTCTTCACGGGAATTGTACAAATTTGGCATTCTGAATCTGATAACTGAATTGTTTTCATATTATTTCAATATTTCACAGCTGCTAATAGAGACGGAGGCCACGGAGATAAAGGTAAAAACACGAAAGAAATTCAAATTATTTCTTCTTGATTTCCAATTTTTACTGAAATTATAGTTATATTACTTAATATAATTATTTTTCACTTACAAACCACGACCATTATATTCTGAATAAGTTGATGTAGGTATACTTTTAGTACTTACCTGCATTTACTCACCAGTTAGGTACCTACGTTATCAGTTAATCCCGTCCTAAATGTAATAGAGATAGATAAGAATGAATACAGAGTGTTCGGGAAATGGATGAAAATTCAAAGGGGGAAATAAAAATAATAGGTAATAACTTTATATTAGACCATTTGTGTTTTCATAGTTGATCTAAAACAATTTAGAATGTTAGACGAAGTTAACTTTATTTTATAGAACAAACCTGTAAACGAGCAGACGGATCACCTGATGGTGAGTAATCGGCGCCACCCATGGATACTTGAAATACCAGAAGTGTTACTAATCCCTTACCGGCCTTTTAGGGATTAGAGATTTGAGGATTGTTGGGGATTCGGGGATAGGGGAGACATGGGACGGAGGTAATTGGTCCTCCGGTAACCTCACACACGTGACGAAACACAATACAAGTGTAGTTTTACGTCGGTTTTCTGTGAGACCGTGGTATCACTCCGGTTGAGCCAGCCCATTCGTGCCGAAGCATGGCTCTCCCACACTTTCACTTATAACTCATATTATTTTTATATTATTATTTTCCTTTAATTTCCAGCAAAAGCATTTACTTATTTATTGAGTCCTCCCACGTATAATAACGTAATGTCAAATGTTTGCCGAAGCCATTTGCAAATATTACTATCGAGCAAGAAAAAATATATAAACGCTTACTTTTACAATTAAGTGCATAGTCCGTAGCGCGTAGTGCGTAATTAGTAGTGCTTAGTTCGTAGCGCGTAGACCGTTGCGCGTAGCTCGTATGTAGCACATAGTTTTAATTGCTAAAATCTGTGTGCTACGTTTAGTTCGTAAAGCATAGTTCGTAGCTCGTATTTCGTAGCAGATAGTTCGTAGCGCGTAACTATATACTGATAGTAATTGTAAGCAATAAATGGTCTACCAAAGCTAGAACTAAATCAATTGAAGCACATAATACAAACTCTCATTAAATTGATTAGAACTTAAACTTAATTATGAAAAATGTTCAGTCTTCATCCTATTCTTGGTACCTAAATAGGTACTAAAAAAAAAATAATGACTGAGCTTAAGTATCTTATACAATATTTAATAATGTCGTATTACCTATCTTTGTCAAATAAGAGATTTAACGACATAATTGCAGGTAGCTATGATATGTATTTTATTATTACTATAACAGTTTATAAACCAGGTGCCGTATTATGACGTCTTAAAACCAGAGTGGTTCCGCTGAGGGAACGTGATCTCACTAGACGACTTGTATAGCTCTGTTTCTTTCCCTCAATGGAACCATTCTGACTTTAGGACGTCATAATAACCCCCCAGCCTTCAAAAATGAAAATGTCAAAAGCCTAAAAAATCTATATCTATATTTTTAATTATATTTGATGGGCGGACGTTTGACCACTATCTCGCCTTATTCGCCGTGTTAAGCGATGATGCGGTCTACGATGGAGCACGTCGTCCTATACGCATTCTATTCACTCGCATCTTGTTTTTCAGCCGTAAAATTACATGGCAAATATATTTAGTTTTTCAAATAATTTGATGTGTTTCCTGTAATTTGTTTTTCCTTTCAATTTCATCATATTCCCCTCCTTTTCTAATGGGTTTCATACTACCGTATTTTTTTTTTGTTTGAAAAATTATCTACCGTGGTCTGTAACATTATGATTACCATAGTTGACTGTAGCACCTTTACACATTATGGGTGTATTACTACATAGTATAAAACAAAGTCGCTATCTGCCGTCTGTCTGTCCCTGTGTATGCTTAGATTTTTAAAACTACGCAACGAATTTTGATGCGGTTTTTTTTAATAGAGAGCTTGATTCGGAAGGTTTATATGTAAAATACATGCATATTGCACCGTGCGAAGCCGGGGCTGGTCGTTAGTTTAATATATAATATTCACTTTATACTAGTTATAAGTGTCACGTAAAAGGGAATGAACAGACTAGGGAGTTGGGAGAGTGGCTCGGGGGTTTGGCAATGGCACAAGTAGGTAATTAATATTTTCCAAATAAGAAAAACCACTCCATCGAATTTTGAGCACTCTACCTTCGCACCTATATGTGTACAAGTTAACAATAAAATAATTACTCACGTTTAGGTACGTTGGAACGTGAAAAATCAACGTTACAGGTAAAATAACTGATTTAACTACACATGAAAAACTTACAGCTTGCAATATACACTTCTTTCTATTCACACCGACTACTAAATAAAAATGTAGTTGTGTATATACTCGCCCTTTACGTATTTAGTATCGTTGGCAAATTAAAATTGATAATATTCTGTTTTTTTTCATTGTTATTTTAAAATAGGTTGAGGATTTACATAATTATAACGTTCTTGTATTTAATTACTTTTCGATCACCAATCTGTTATTTTTACAATGGAATTTGGTTTCGTAAATAGACTTATCTACGATAGCTACTCCTGGGCGATTTCACCCGGTCTACTCGGCTCTGATTGATCGTAGGGTGATGTTTTATAGCCTTCCCCGATAAATAGATTATCCAACACAAAAATAATTTATCAAATCGGACCGATGGTGGGCTCGCTGCCATTGCAGCGATAAGTCCCCTCTTTGAGGAGTATTTGTATGTACATACATGTCACTTTGTGGGCGTGGGGCAATTATATAAATCCATTTTTGACGACGTATTACGAAGTTTTATATAGGGCACAAAATCAGTAGGTATGTAAAAATAAAACATAAAATAACATTGTCTAACATTATATTTGCATAACTACCATCGAATAATCAATCTTTAACATTGGAGTGGTTGTTTTTAGGGTCGGTATCATCAGGGAATTCTTTTAATGCCGTTATGTCACTATCTACTTCAATTGGCACTTCTTTATATCCTTCCACTTCGTCTATGGCGGAGTAAACTGCTTTCTTTTCAATCTTAGCTAATATCTTCTTGTCATGGAATGGGTGATTGTGTAGGTTAGCCCTGTTGACAAAAGATATGTAGTAAGAATAAGACGACCCAGTATTGTTATAAATGGTGATACATAAGTGTGACTGGCTGAGTGGTCGCGAGTACGACTACCGGTCAAGAGGACTCGGATTCGATTCTCGGGTCGGGCAAATGGCAATAGGCTCACCCTCTATTACTTGGGACTTATAACATAAATAGGAAAAAGTGGGTGTTACACAGTGGCATTAAGTGTTGTAATGTGCACTTCTGCTTACCCCATCGGGAAACAAAAGCCGTCATGTTATGTTATACAAGTATATTTTAGGTCCATTGTATGCAAAATGAAAAACTACAATTTGTGAAAAAATACTTTTAGTAATTGTTATCTAGTCGGCAATTAGTTACATGGCGCTTCTCTTATAATGGTATTGTATTTATAAACAACAAAGCAAATATGTGTTCGGAGCACTAGGCGTGTGTATGACTAAACAACAGCCCACGTTCGGCAGGCAGTGTTGAAATCAGTTATTAAATAAATAAATAAAAAAGCCTTTATTTCCCAATACCCCTAAATGATTAAGTAAATATTTACATTTTATTCAATTTTGTTATTTTTTTTATAATCTAGGTTAGTACTACACTAAAGTGTGGGTACTTAGGTGAAGGCCTCTTCCAATTGTTTCCAATTCCCTCTGTCTTTCGCTATAGTTTACCTATCGTCTCCTGCTATTTCTCTCAAGTTATATCGTAGGCAGTAGCAGTATTTGAAAAGAAAAACTTGCAATTAAATAGGACTTACCTATTGAGTACGATATTTCCTTTTGTGACCAAGAACGCTGTGCATTTGTTGTTTCTGTAATCGACACACCGCCACCGTCGCAGTCCCGACCGCGACGTGGTAGAGTGCAGGTTGTAAATGTACCGGTTTAGTATCACTTGCAATGACCCTCGAATTGATACCGTGAACTGTAGATTTGATCCCGATGCTGTAACAGATTTATGTTTATATTTTAATAATGCAGATCACCATCATCATCATATCAGCCACGAGAAGTCCCCTGCAGAACACAGGTCACCCCCAAATTATTAAACCATTTGCAAAATGGCTTCGATCATTTTTACTAACAATCAAGTTATTCAATTTATTTTAACCCATTATAATTATATAACATTACATCATCATCATTCATCGTGGGCACTGGCTGTGCCCACTGCTGAGGTGATGAATGCTCATTAGGATATATTTCCATCTATTTAAGTGCAAAATGTGTTAACAGAGGCCTTAGTACGAGTTTGTTTTAGGTTTAAAGTAATCGTAACGAGTACGCATTCGACGCTGTGATTGGCCGGCTAAAATGAACCAACCAATCAGATTGCCGAACGCGAGCTCGTTTCGAATACTTTTTTTTTTTTTAAGGGGGGAAAATCATCGAATGACTGCTCCCGCCTGGGTGAGGCGGAAGGGAGTGTCAGACTCTTACTGACTAAAAACCACCCCGTTCCTTCTCCTGCACGTCGAGCCGGAGCCCCGGTTACCCGTTAGGTTCTCCGCGACGTTTCGAATACTTTAAACGTAAATCAAACTTGTACTAAGGCCTCTTTTCATGTACGAAATAAAGAAATATACGTTCTTATATCAGCATGGAAGGGTTGGTTTTGTAAATTTTTATAAGGGTGCGGCTACATCTGGTAAATACTCAGCGGATGCGCAGCTCGTGAGCAACCGGCGAGCTGCACATTCGCGCGTACATTTAAAATTATTATATACGAATCTTGTATGAGTTGAGCACCAAGAACCACGCTAAAATAAATACATGGACTTACGTGAATCCTTCCTTTCTTGAACATTTTGTTTAGTTTCATGCATTTTAAAATCGATATCATTGTCGTCATCGTGCACCACTGTGTCGTCCATTAGGTCGCTGTAGTCATGGTGACCGTGTTGATCATGCTGACTGGAGATTGGCATCGACATAGCATGTAGAGGCACATTCGATGTGTCTTTGTGTACCCTGTGTATTACAAACACGGCCTTATTAGATAGAATATTAGGTACCAATAGCATATTTTTTATAAGAATGGAAAATGATTTTCTTCCGCCTTTTCCGTGAGTTGAGAGGGAGTGTCAGACTCTTACTGACTAAAAACTACCCCGTTCCTATATCAGTCTGCTCTTTTAGCTAGAATGCTGGGCCACATCTGTGGTGGTATGATGGCTCTTTAAGGCGCGCACAGAACGCGACGCGCCGTAGCATATTTCAGCCTACAGATGGATGAAGAAAAACGTACATTCAATTTTGAACCGACAATTCTCATTTAAGCCAACATAGCAAAGGGGTATTATTCCCCGGTTATGTCTAACGTGAGAGCACCCGCCAATCGCCAGGCAGTGATTGCATAGTCTAGTTAGTGTAAAAGTGTCTACAGCAACTTTATCCAAATTATGTGCAGGGCATTGAGATTTGAAAGTCTTATTTTAATGTTGCCCCGGACTAGTACATTTTTTATGTTGTGAGTGCGTTTATAAACGTACGATCTCATATACACATGACACCCAGACCCGGAACCACAGTCCCAATAATAGAACCCACTACACATTGCACGGCAGCCAGTTGCCCAGCCATCGCGCCAACCGTGCTGCCAAAATTCAACAAATATCCAAAATGAAACTGTCGACATTCATACTCACATAGATTCCTGTTTCAAAAACACCTTTCTTGCTGATGATGGCAAAGTAACCTGGAAAACAAATAGTATACACAGTTTAATGTTGGAAATATTATGTTCACGATTTATTCATATTCATTATTCATATCTTTATTATATTCCATTTATTTAAATACTAGCTTTTACCCGCGGCTTCGCTCGCGTCACAAAAGGATAAAAAGGGTAAAAAGCCTATGTGACATATACCAATACACGCAGCGCCATCTATACCAATACTTTTGTTTTCCCTTGGGAATATCAATTTTTTCCGGGATAAAAAGTACCCTATTATTTAATCCGGACTTCTTACTTTACGTCTGCAAAAATTCAAAGCAATCGGTCTAGTAGTTACGGCGTGAAAGCGGAACAAACAAACAAACTCACTTTCCGATTTATAATATTAGTAAGGAAGTAAGGATAAGGATGATTTTAGAATCTGACACCCATACCCTTTAAAATTAATTGCAAGTACTCCCCCATCTGGGATGTATGAGCTGAATCGAGACTCTAAAAATAGAGCATGATGTGACACCAGAAAAGCTTTATGTGCATAAAATATTGTACTTCAATGACACTACCTACTATTTTACGAGGACAAGACTACAAAACTTCTACTAAAACTTAAAATGGTATCAGACAACAATCGCAAAAGTATCAATTTACTATTTTATGATCAATTTATTTATGTTCATCATGGCCTCATTCGTACGGGCTTTAAAATGAGTTCTACCTGTGCTATACTCTCTGTTGGTGGAACACTTAATCTCTTGATACCGCTAACATGACATATCTCACTGTCATCAAGTTGTGGCAGACTTGCTGTCAGTTTCGTAGGTGGGGTTTGTGGTGAACTCTGTAAGATTTGAAAGATGAATTAAATAAACATAATAGTTGCATGTTCTAAAAAGATTATGAATAATTGTTAGATTATACTTTTAAAAAAAAAGATTACATTGGTAATGCCATGGAATTTGGCTTAGTTATGTGTTGCAATATACTGGCATTTTCGAGGGTAATAAGATTTATTTTGAATTTAAGAATTTAAATATAAAATAAATAAATTAAAAATAAAAAAGCCTTACATTTCCCATTTTTTAAAAAAGATCTACATTTCCAAAAAAATTTTTTTTGTTAATAGGTTTAGTTTGAGGGAACCCCTGTGGTGACCGCCTCCTCCAGAAAATACCGTCTTTCTTGATCTTTTGCTGTAGCTAGCCAGCGTAGCAATAATTTTAATAAAACTGTTATAAAATAACGAAAAGAAGAGACAGTGCTTCATTTTATTGTCCAATAATGTTATGTGAGTTTGTCATGTTTGTAGTAAAACAGTACTTACAATATTTTCTAATCCTCTAATGTGTAAAGACTTGGCAGCTTCCACAAACATGTTCAGGCAATCAGCTGGTACCACAACCTCACCTGTGTAGATATACTCCAGCAGCAAACACAAGGTGCGATGTGAAACATTCTGAAAGAAATGATATGTTAAAATACAATCAATCTTATTACTAAAGTTTTAAGCATTGTAAGTGTTTCTATAACATTTGTTTAAGAATATTATTGCTTATGCATACACAAATTATATAATTAAAATGTTCTTCCAATCTGTATGAAGTAAATTATATAGGTATATCCAAGAGAATAAAACAATACTGATGTTTTTGTTATTGTAAATATTGGTTTCAGTAACAATTAAACTATCACTGACTTATATACTTTTTTACTGAGTTATACTCTTACATTAAGGAATATAACAGGATGTTGACAAGGCGCTGAAGATATAAGGTCCTTCAGATAAGGGCTAGCTAATGCTACCAGCACTTGATGAACTTTAACTAAATGCCCATCTGCAGCTATCGTCATGTCCACAAACTCACCATTCTGAAACACAATCAATACAATTTTATTCTAAAACAAAACATGTCAACTGGGTTCGCACGGTATCCATACCTACTACATATGGTTAAGGTTCTCCAGTGCCCTGTATTGAAATCTAACCGGATTTAAGTAGGTTAAACAAACCTAAATTAAATTATGATAGAAAATCTGATAAAATGGTAAACGTAAATCATTTTACCTGCTGCAAAGCACTAAATCCATTACAAATATTGGATTTATAAGATTCCCATGACAACGAGAACTGTGACTGCACCATTTCAGTTAAATTGCTGAAATAGTCGTAGTAGTATTTAAAAGTGTTAAAACAAATCAACAAACGAAATAAACACTCAACTATGATACTTCATTGATAAGTTTTTCGTTTACACCAAAATGCTTAATAGACACTCGACAGTGACAATGTCAAATAAGAAATAAACCAATGATTATAGAAATAAAAGGATATGAATTGTGTACGCGCTTATCGTGCCAATATGGAAACAAAAATGGCGTAGACTCCGCCCTCAGCCCATTGGACTTTTGTCAAAGGATAATTGAAATTACATATAGATACAATGTAATGTGGTTCGAAAGCAGGGAATTGTTTTGCCGTTACAGGACAAAATAAATAATAAAACTGAGTTGGTAGATCAACTTTTCAGTGTCGCAATTATAAATCAAGAACAGGTATCATAAAACCACTTTAATTTATTACAATCTCTGAAACAGGTTTCCTTTTTTTCTTCCAGTTTCTCAGTTTAAATGATTAAATATACATTTTTAAAAAACCTCAAAGTGTGAGGCCGACTCGCTTTAGCCCACTTTTTGTTTTAAATTGTAAATATATATATTTGAAACGTTGCCCCACACTAGGATTTTCTCCTGTGTCGTGGGTGTGGTTACAAACATACAAGTTCACATACACATGACACCCAGACCTGAAACAACAATCTGTGGATCACACATAGCGTTGCTCCGTGCGGGAATCGAACCCGCGACACGTTGCGCGGCAGTCAGTTGCCTAACCACCGCGCCAACCGTGTAGTTAATTATAATCTATCTATCTCTTTCTACATTACGACAATTGACATAGCTATTACTATATACTAAAAGAGATCAGAATATATATTGTCGATTCGATTCATAATAGCATCGTATTTCTATAACTACGTTGTTTAAATAGTTTTTATTCATAGGTCATTGACATAAACTTACCCACAGATCTTTTCTCCAACAATAGACAAAAAATCACTCAAAAAATAAACAGCACAGATAATAAATATATTTAATACAAAGTTTCAACGTGGTTTCAACCCATAGCAGTGTTTCAACCTGATTCCCTTTTGTTTTGTAGATAATAGCAAATTATTTGGGAATCTAATGCCCGAATACTGAAACGTTACTAAATTTTAAGTCGCGCTTAAGCATAGTTCTGTCTCTACAAATTCATTGTAAAATGACAGAGACAGCATGATATTTAAGCTCGTTTTAAAATTGATCAACGTTTTAGTATTTCAGCATTAGTCTTTGATAGGACAAAAGAGCAAGAGAGGAAAGCGTTTGAAAATAATGCACTAGGCATACCCGCGGAACCGCAATATTGTTCCCCTTTGTTATTATTATTACTTATACTGATTGAACCACCTTCTTTATACTATGATTGAACTGCCTGAACTTAATAGGTACGGGACTTGATTATCGTTGCATTGATATATAAATCTTAATGAATACTAGTACTTTAATTTCGTTTTATAATTAGCTCTGTTGTAGGTAAACCACCGGGCACTCGCCAACTCAAGTATCAGAATGAGAGACAAAAATTAAAAACAAACAGTAAAAATTATAATTTTGTAATTCAGAAAAAAATTACTTAAGTCTTAGGCAGAGTAACTTTGATTATTTGGTTAGCTCCACGAGAGGTATTAGAATTTCTAACAAACTTTTTAGGTTTATCTTTAGGTTTTTGTTTGGCAATCATTCTATTTGTAGCTTGGGTTATTGAAGTAAATAAACAATTTGATTTTAATTTTCTCATAATTTGAGTCTTATGCTGACCGTGATTATGGTCTTCAGATCTGAAAATAATAAAAAAAAACAATTTTATTTCTTTACAATATTGGATTGAAAAAGAAACAAACCTGTTTCAAATCATCGCAAGTATGTAAATTCACCTGGTGTTTATGATGTCATTATTTGTATCTATATATGCTGGGCAATGTAGTTTTCGGTAGTCTACACACCGCCAACGGCGTTTAAGACCATTAGATGCATGATGATGACAGTGGTACATAAACTGGTTCAATATTAATTGCAATGAGCCACGTTTAGAAATAGAGTAATGCAGACCGTGAGCTGAAAAAAAACGATATTCAAATATAATTTAAATTTAACAAAGTCACATATATCTTCTTGAACAAGTCAAACAACATTGTGTATTACCTTTATTGCCTAGAATAGATTCATGTGTAACTTTAGTCACAGGAGGTCCTTGGTTAACTTTTGTATGAGGTAGTGGTGGTGGATTACATGGGGCTAAATTAAAAACTGTAATCGGTTCATTTGGAGCAATGTTAAAATAATTACTATTTAAGATTTCCGTATTGTTCTTTTCTATATTAGATACCGGAGCATCAATATATTCAAAATCAGTTTCAACAACAGTCATTTCAGGAAGTGGAGCCACTTGTTCATTATTTAGATTGTCACTCGCAGTAGAACTTTTCAATGTTGGCAAATTCGTCAGATTGATGTCACCGAGAGAGTAGAAAGGCTGTGTACTTTCTTGCGCAATAGTATTGTCAGCTGGTATGACTTCAACATTGTAGTTTTCACTGTTAATTGTTATGTGCGCTGCAAAATTATTGTCTGGTGGTACTATAGGTCTGAAAAGGTACATAATATATAATTCAACTTACAATGTGTAATGTCTTAAAATATTTTATAAATTAACTATTAATCAATATCATAGACACCATAATAAAAGGTGTAATTATTGCAATGCACTTTTAAACAATTAACTCGTCGAGTACCGGTTTTATAGACACAATTAAAGAACAATAGGTTGCGGTCACCGGTGACCACTTGGTGTTTGACAGTTTAAGCATATGAACTGTGATAGTTAACATAAAGAATCAAATAATTAAAGAATTACTGATTGTTTACCTATCTGGTGGTAAAACCAAAGAATTTGATAATGGTGGTGGTAAAACAGAACCCAAAGGTGGGGGGGGCTGGCTAGGTGGCAGCAGCTCTGATGGCAGCGGATCAGATGGTTGTTTCTAAAATTTGTGAAGGTTACTTTTCATTATTGTTTATTCAGTCAGTCAGTCATATAATTATATGAAAATGGAAGCAATTCAGTACAGTTATTTTAGGAATAATTTCATACCTGAGGTAATTCTATATTTTCAATACCATTAATACATAACGCTTTGCAGGCTTGTATAAAAGCTGGTGTAGCATCAGTTGGTATCTTCACTTCCCCTGTATATATATATTCCAGTATGAAAGTAAGTATACTGTGATTTATGTTCTGAAGAGTGAAGAAAAAAATATGGAATTAATTTAATTACTATATTATTTTAATGTATGTACACTATATATAAATAAAACAATTTGTTTTTCAATTACATTTAGAAACACAACTGGATGTTGACATGCAGCAGATTCTATCATTGCCTTTATGTAAGGGCTGGCAAGTGCCACAATATTTTGATGAACTTTTACTAAATGACCATCCGCTGCAAGGGTCATGTCAACAAACTCGCCCACCTGCAACACACACAAAATTATAATGGAATCGTAAAGGAAAGGATAAGAAAAAATTACGAATTTTACGCGCGAAATTACCTACTTGTTGTAAACGTGCAAATCCTTGCGAAATATGATTTTTGTAAGATACCCAACTAAAACAGAACTGATCTTTAGACATAGTGTTAAATGCAATAAGTAACTAAGTGATAAATAAATATTATTTTATCGCAAACAAGAAATTAAATAAGTTTGTTTTTGTTTTGACTTGGTCTTGAATTTTGATGATTGACAATAATTGACATAGTTTGACAGCAATGACATGATGTAAAAAGATGTAGCTTTTTTTAAATCCCAGAGTTGCCAATCAAGAACAAGAACAAGAAGGAAAGAACTGCAAGATCGCAATAGTATTTATTTTCAAATCGCTTTTTCATTCAATTTCCCGTTAAAAAATTATAACATTCATGTCAATTTCTATTTGCCACTTCCAGAAATATAAGTAATAAAACTGGCTGAAAAGTATTACATTGAAACCATTTTGCTCTTTACAAATTATTAATATGTCAAAAATTAATCTACATTGCGCTTTCACTTTAATTCGATATTGCTATTTCGGCCCAAAATTTATGTGTTTTCTGCGTGCTTCCCCTTTGTGGAAGTATTTGCACATTCTGAATCAAGTTGATCAAATTATTCGTGATACTTTAACAACGTTAATTAACTTTTATAAACTTTTGAATGCAAATCAGTCTATGAACGATCGTGTTTGGCTTCAAGCCACGCTACCAATTCGTTTTGGTGGTCTAGGCGTCCGCAAAATTTCCAGTGTAAGTTTACCGGCGTTCATCTCTTCTGTCCGAAACACCAGAACTTTAACCAAAAAAATGCTAGCCCGCGTTATCCCCGAGGTGCCGTGTCTGATATAAAATGTCTCAATACAGGCTTGCCTATCAACCCATCCTCCCAAAGACAATAGGACGACCCGCTTTGCAGTTTGGTGCACAATAATCTCATAAATACGAGGACTAGTCCTGCGGAGCTAGCGCGGCTATTGGCCTCTGGTTTCAGGCACTTCCGTCAGTCAATATTGGCACGATGTTGAATGACTCAATTCTTCGGTTTGCTGCTTGTTTGCGTCTAGGTGCTCCCTGCGTTATTCCGCATCGCTGTCAATGGAGAGATGGTCGACCACCTCAATCACCACGGCCTATCGTGCTGCAGAAGCACGGGCTGGATAGCCCAATACTGAATAGCATTAACCACTTTACCCGTCGAGCTTGGCGCGCAACGATGGTGAGAGACCTGACAGTATGTCCATTATGCCTTGGTTGGAAGTTGGGAAGGTCTCTGATATGGGACGCAACCTGCGTCGACACCCTTGCATGGGACGCAACCTGCGTCGACACCCTTGCACCTTCTCATCTTCCTGTAACGGCGGGTTGTGCTGGTTCGGCTGCTACCACTGCAGAAAACCATCTCACCATCAACCATCATCAAAAATATTTCATCTCGAGACCAGAGGCCTCGTCTGCTACTCGGTCAGAGTTTTCTTATACCTACATAAACATAACGTACATATATTCTACTTACTCTTTGATTGCCATACAACGTGGCAATGCTGCTAGCTTTCTGGGAACTTTCCCCATTGACGTTTAGGCGGACGAATTTGTCTCTGTAAATAGTCATTTTTAGTTTCCTTTTATTTAATTTTTTTCATTAGTGTCTGTTAAGTTGTACATATTTATGTTTTTTCCTTTCCTTATATTGTAAATACCTAACTAATAAAGTATTTTTAATAAAAGATAAAAAAGATGTCAACATTCTGCCATTCTACCTCGGTAGGTAATTTGAATAAACTTGTTGTCACTGTCACTGAGTTAAGAGTGAAACAACAACTGTGAGTCTGAGTCTGTGTGACCGATTATTATTGAATCTTTGACTTATCAGTGACGGTCAAACTGTATTTACGTTAGATATCGTGATAAAATTAGTGCCTTGTTCGAGGTACTGTGGGTTATTTGTTTAGAATGTTACGGGTTTTGATTATTTATATTTAATAACTTTTTAATACTTAATTACTCCAAGTTTTATAATGAATACTGTACGCAAGTTTCTATAAACTCAATTTTCGGTGTTTTGAATAGTCCTGAGTAGGTATATTTTATTCTTGTTAATTTTAAGCTTAACTTTATAAGGTACCTATCATAATCGTTTATTAGATAAGAGTTTAGTTGTACTGTACCTAATATAACAATACAAAATGATAGCAATAAAATCTGCTACATGTATTACTGGTACTGTTGCCCGGAGTTTTATGCCTGTTACATCTAACACTGCAGCACACCGCTGGTAAGTCCTATTTCCATAATTTATTAAAATGTTTATTACATTTTCATTTGTTAAAAGTATAATGTTTCACAAATATTTTAATTACCTAATATTTTTTCAGGTATTCATGTGATACTTCTAAAAAGTTTGATATTGTCGTAATTGGTGGTGGTATTGTTGGTGCTGCTTCTGCAAGAGAACTTAGTCTGAGGCATCCATCATTAAATATTGCATTAGTTGAGAAGGAAAACCGTTTCGCCTACCATCAGAGTGGAAATAACAGTGGTGTGATTCATGCTGGTATTTATTACAAGCCTGGATCATTGAAAGCTAAATTATGTGTACAAGGCATGGAATTAGCTTATAAATACTGTGATGAAAAAAATATAAAATATTTAAAATGTGGCAAACTGATAGTGGCCACTGAAAGGCATGAGATACCTATATTATTAGATTTGTATGATAGAGGAATACAAAATGGTGTTAAAGATTTGCAGCTACTAGAAGGAAATGAAATAAGAGAAATAGAACCTCTCTGTAAGGGGTTACAGGCAATATGGTCTCCCAATACTGGAGTTGTGAGTTGGGCAGAGGTTACAGATTCCTATGTAGATGACTTCAAAAAATGTGGTGGCACAACTAATCTAAACTTTGAAGTAAAGAGGTTTTCAGAATCTGAAAATGCGGAATATCCTGTTGTTATATCAGATAACAAATCTAATAACATTTCTGCAAAGTATGTTCTGACATGCTGTGGCCTACATTCCGATACAGTGGCTGTTTTAACTGGATGTCCTGAAGAGCCTAAAATCATACCTTTTAGAGGTGAATATTTATATCTAGTCCCAAGCAAAAGTAACTTGGCAAAAGCTAACATTTATCCTGTACCTGACCCAAGATTTCCTTTTCTTGGTGTTCATATAACTCCTAGAATAGATGGACGTGTAATTTTGGGTCCAAATGCAATATTAGCTTATTGTAAAGAAGGATATAAGTAAGTAATTTCATCTACTTTTTTCCTGTAAACCTATGGAATGGGATAATACATAAAACAATACTGAAAATAAAATCATATAAAATTAAAAAGTTAGTAAAAAAGATACAATAATTCTATCAAGACCGAAACATATCTTCTGTATTTGCTTTTAAACTGTCAAACACCAAGCGGTCACCGGTGACCGCGACCTATTGTTCTTTAATTGTGTCTATAAAACCGGTACTCGACGAGTTAAACTTAGAAAATATTTTATTAACAAAAATGGTTATTTATAATCGGTAGTTAAAAACATTTATATAAAGAATTTAGTCATATTGTACAGCAAATTAGTACTTTTGTTGAAGATTTTTTACCAAATAGATGGGCAATATGTCCAGATAAAATGTTATGCAATAATAATGGCACACTTTTTATCAAACGGCATTTAGGTTACTTTACATTTACAAAAGTCAAAGATCTTGTTCTTTATTTACAGATATAGTGATGTGAATATGAATGACTTGAAAGATATTTTAGCGTTTTCTGGTTTTCGGAAACTAGCAATGAAATACGCGAGTTTTGGAGTTAAAGAATTAGCAAGATCAATATTTCCTTCATTGCAAGTAAAACAGGTACAAAAATACATTCAGGAGATTACATCTGCTGATGTGGAGAAAGGTCCTTCTGGTGTACGAGCACAAGCAATGGCTAAAGATGGTAGGTAATAAGTTATTTGTAAGTACATACTTTGTAATAGGTACGCTTTTTTGTATGACTGCTGTTAACCCTTTTTAAGGCATAATACCTACCATGTATACCATCATACCTATGAGCGGATAAGTAAAATTTTTGGTAGGTTTAGACCACATTTATTGTAGTGTTCACCAAACGCAAAAGGATGGTGGCAAATGTATTGCCTTAAAAAGGGCCTGCCTAAAACAACCCAAACCAAAAAAAATAATAACTACCAAGAACTACAAAACCACCCTAAACAGACGAAGGATGATTATTTTTATACTGTTCATTATTTCACTATTGTTTTTTTTTTCTTTTCAGGAAGTTTAATAGAAGATTTTGTGTTTGATTCACAACCTGGTTCTGGTGCGATAGGAAGTCGAGTTTTACATTGCAGAAATGCACCTTCACCTGGAGCCACTTCATCGCTCGCTATCGCGAAAATGATTGCTGATAAGATGGAAAGTGAGTTTAAGTTTAAAATCTGAGATATAAATGATAGATAGAAAAGTATATTCATAAACATCGTAATAAATACTTAAATGTAGAAATATGTACATGAAAGTGTGTTAGCCAAAAGGTTTATTTTGTCCTTCCTTAAAGTACACCTTAAGGAAAGGAAAAATAAATCTTTTGAAAATCCAAAAGTTGTATTAGCATGGTGAGAACAAATAATACCTAATAATGATTATTCAACTACTCTATCTAATTATGTAATGCTTATATTAAAACTTTCGTGAGACATACTAAATTAATTATTATGTATTCGGCTTACTCGCGTAACTGTTTGACGAGGAACTCCAAGCCATACTAGAAGGCTCATATTCATAAGCAGCATTTCGCGACATGCGACGCGGCGACTGTCGCGCTACTAATTGGCTTCTTGTGTCTACTGCGGTGCGGGCCCAGCCTAGTCGAGTTCCTCGTCAAACAGTTACGTGAATACGCCGAAAACATAAACATTAAAATGTGTTAATAATATTGTTCAAATCAAATTAAATACCCTTATTCATGATAACATAATTATGGTGCCTAAATTGTCGAACATCAATATTATACTGACATTAGTCTGGTTACCCAGTACAATAATTTAACTTACAACAAGTTTCAAATATATACAGCTCTGTAAATAAAAAGCTATTTCTTTACCTCCAGTTTGTCCTCCAGTATCACCTTTTTATTGTTATGCATTTGGCTGATAGTAATGTCTTATACAAATACTTTTTATAACTTAATACTAAAAATTGTATTGTAATAAATAGAAAGGAAAGTTTTAAAATGATGCTAATCAATGTAATGTTTTATAAGTTTTTAACCACAGAAACTATTTTAAAGCTGTAGATGTAAAAATGTTTTTAAGATTTATTGCTAAAGACTTTTTATGTAAATATTAAAGCATTTATTAGAGGAAAATTTGTTATAAAAATTAAATTGTTATTTTGTGATCTGAAAAGTATTTATTAAAAAATATCTTATATAATTTATTCAATCTTATATTATGTACTATTAATAAATATTTATATAAGTCAAACTATAAATAATTAAATTATTAATAATGTAAAATAAATAAATGTGTAACTTTGGGTGCTAAAATTACAGTCACTAACTAGCAGTTTAGCTATGTATTAACTAGCGAATATTATATTTGCACATAATAGTTATTTTTTAATTAAGATACATTTTTTGTCCATTGTCTTTTAAAAAAATTTGAATATACATTTGGCTTTGGAAGGCATGATTTTTTATTCAACAACAATCCCTCTATTAGTCAAACAAATAAAATTAATTTGTAGATCATAAACTGTTGTTGAATGGAAGAGTATATTGCTGAACACCACTATGTACTCTGATAGACCAAACATTGAATAAACTGAAAAAAAGAAAATTGTTATGAATTTCAGATTTGTAAGTTCTTTATTCATTTTCCTATGGAAACTCGTCATATTAACCTTTTGAACACCATGGTTGGCTCATTATGCCATGTAATGTTGGGTTAATTTAGTTTGTCAGCTATAGCCAACTGCGGCGGTCAAAACATTAATAAGTGTTAATGTATCAATAAGATTGGTAATAAGTAATGACCCTTGATCCAAAGGGAATATTAAGTTCAACCACATCATGCAAAGTTATTAGATAGATAAGTAGACTAAGTTATTTTGTTTAAGTTGTAAATACATTTGTTATGTAGAAGCACGATGGGATTGACATCGTCACATAATGTGTACAAAAATCCTTACAATAAATGAGATTAAAAAAAAAAAAAAAAAAAAAATCATGCAAAGTATTATGAAGGGTTTCAAAATTCTAAACCTTTGCCTAACTTCACATTCATACAAATAGATTTACTTACCATAAGGTTCACATAGTCTATTATGTCTCAGAAAGAAGTAAGCAGCAGATGCAAATGAAGTAATGTTCACAATAAAAGCTCTCCATTTTAATTTCACAGAATGTTTTTCTCTGTATGTTATATTTGGCCTTCTTCGTAACTTTGAAAGCATTATGCATGTGAACAGCATATAAAATACTGAGGTCCCAATGAATGTTTTAAAACAAACTTCATGATAAGCTGTAAAGATAAATTGAAATATTGATTCCTTCTTAAACTGTCAAACACCAAGCGGTCACCGGCGACCGCGACCTATTGTTCTTTAATTGTGTCTATAAAACCGGTACTCGACGAGTTAATGTAGTATTAGTTGCCAAAAAATTTTTTACATTAATTAAGTATACAGATGAGTACTTACGATAATTTTTGGACGATGTCCAATGCGTGAGTCCTAATAAGGCAAAATTTTCTATGATATTTAAAAATACTGCTAATTTGACTATAACAACACAGCTCTCTAGCACAACACTTCTATAATATTTCCATCGTAAATACAGCATGTAGAATCGCATAGGTGCATGTATGTAAACAGCTGCTTTCCATATTGTACTTTGTGGTTCATAATTTCCAATAGACGCTGATATTGATGGGAAGACGTTGGGAACCTTGCAATGAGTATTGTTTGCGTTTTCGAAGTCCTTGTACATTGTTATTACAACACAAGATATAAAGGCAAATAATGGCACTGACACCACATAATAGCAGAATTTCGACGGAATTTTGATGTAGTTGTAGATTTTCTTTTCTGACTCATTGTAAAGAGGTAAATACATTTCATATTAAAGTAATACAAAGTTTTCTTCAAATTCGTTTTCGTAAACATAGATAGATGACATCAATCAAACGAAAAATGACATTCAGTGACAGTGACACGATCACACGACTGCTGTTGGCAGACAAAATGTCATTGCTTTGATTGTCTGCCAGTGCCTAAAATGTAATCGTAATTTCATATTATAAAATAATTAACTGATATAAGATTAAAGTACTCGTTAGAGAGACTATTTTTTTAAGATATATCTAATTGAATTCTTTAGATATTGCGTAGAATAATCATCCAATGGTTCATGAATTCATGATGGATGGGCAAGTCATCAAAACATTGTAGTGTAATGGAACGCTGCATTGAACTACGTTTTGTTATTTTATCGATATTTTCTTAGCAACCGTAAGATCGATTTATTACTTTAGAAAAATCTTGTATGTTAACATGAAAATTGATATAAAATTATGGAGAATATTCTAAATAAAGATATTTTCAACGAAAGTGACTTGGATAAACTTTCACCGGACTATAAACCTCGAAATTTCGTATTACGGATGCAGATGAGAAGAACTCTGGTAAGTAAACATTATCTTTAATTTAGAAAGTCTCTAATATATAGATAACATTCAATCCTTACAAAAAAGTAATTGTATGCCTATTATGTTATTATTCCCATGAGGAATGATAGTCCATAAACTCATTACCTGCATTCTATGATCATTAAGATTTAAAATAAAAAGGAAAAGGTCAATAACATCTTTGCCCGACCCCAAATTTTCGAATTGAACCTCCGACCTCGCGGCCATTTCTGTTCGAGCAACGAACCAGTCACACCTATGTAGCTACCTATATCCCTATACCATCCAATGTGAAACATGCGTTTACATTTGTTATGTAGGTAGGTACTTACCTACGTACTTGTACCACTAATGAATGTTTTTTACAGGCTAAAGACAGTCACAACCATGGTATTCTTAAAAACACCAATTTTACAAGGTAACATCTTAATATAGACAATATTACCTAGGCATTCTTTGATTGTGTGTATGTTTTTTGGTCTAAAACCCAAGAATGAATCAAAAGTAGGTAACTAATAAAATTAAAAGAATTTTAGGTTCTTGCAGATTTTATGATTTTTATTGGATTAAATGTAACTATCTTGAGACCATTTGAAGCTTTTATTATTCTTTGTCTATTGATTTAAGTGTATCGTGTCAGGTTATCATAAAATTGAAATTGTATATTTAAGGAAATCTATAAGGACAAAAGAAAGCTTTGCAATTCACAAAGAAATTGTGAAATTACGAAACGAATTCAATAATATTAATTTAAAAAATAGAGTATCATTAAAAGGCCTTGAGCCTTTGAAATTAAAATCAACGGTTAACAATGATGATTCCTCCATATTTGATAGAAGTCTAAATTTGCACCAATCCGATGATAATTTCTGCATTAATGAACTTACTGAAGAATTTACTGAATTGGAAATACGCAATGATAATGAATTTAAAGTTAATCCGAAGATAAAACCTCTTAAACACATAAAGATATATCGAGAAACTCAGTGCTATCGGAAACCGAAAAACCGCACTAGTGGTTTATTAGATCTACATAAAGATATAAATGAAAACAATGAAGATATTTTTCGTGTAGAATGCAAGAACAAATCTCATAGCCCACATAATTTAGATCACGATATACATACAGAACAAGAAGCTATGAAACAAGATTCACAGCGAAATATTACATCTAACAATTTGGATGTGCCAGTTAGTGAATTGCAAAATCTATTGATAATGATGGCTATTTCTTCAAAACCAAATGAAGTCGAAGACCACCCTGAGGAAGTCGAAGTTAGTAATGAAGTTGATACTCCAAAAAGCGAAATACTTTCAAACGTTGATGTTAGTGATAAAAAATCTGTATGCTCGGAGGGAATTGATAACATTTTAAGTATAACCCCAATTAGGGTACAAATTGACAGCAAAGAAACGTACCTAATGAAAAAATATATTAGTAAGTGGAAAACTTACGCAAAAAATAACAGGGAAAAGTATGTCTCTGAACAGAGGCAAGAAACTTTAAACAATTTCTTTGAGAAAATTGCAAAGAAAAAGATGGCGATAAATCAAGGTGCTGAACCTGAAAATAAATCCAAAATTTTGTTAAGGGATTATAACACGTATCAACATCGGTGAGTAACAAACTACGACTACCTACATACCTAGGTTGATAGGTACATCGCTTATTTTTAAAATTAAACTTTACGATTTGTTATTATAATTTTAAATTTTCATCTGAACATGTTTGCGAAGGCCCTGAAACTGAGTTAATTTAATTTTTAGGTACAAATTACAAAAGCATATCATAGCTTTACAAAAGGCAAAATTAGAAGAACAGAATCGTTTAATTGAGGAACTGAAGTATAATAGGATCGTAGAAGCTTCACGCAAGTCTGTGGATGATATGAGAGAAGAAGTACGTAAAACGTATTATGAAATAGACAGGCATCTTAAACCAAAGATAAAGTGCTTGACTAACGAGTTAAAGATTCCTGAAATTGAAGGTTAGACACCTTCAATCAACTACTTACGTAATATTGATGATGAAAAGTTTTTTGTAATTATTATTGTTTACATACCTAAATCGTGTTTATTTTCAGAACCCTCTCTTATATTACACTGTTTGAAGGTACCACAGTTTTTACAAAGGATGGAGAAGAGAGCTCGTGAGCGAGAAGAAAAGCATGCAATGATTCGTGAGCGAAGACGACAGATGGAAGAAGAAAGGATTAGAATGAAGCAGCAGGTAATTTTTGTCTTAGATCTAGTTTCGCAATATTATTCACCTGAGCTAGATCGTGTAAGGAACTAATAAATTGGTTTTAGGCGGAACTGGCGAAAGCAGAAATGGATAAAGAAGAAAAGATGAAAAGAATACAAGAACTGAGAGATAAAAGGAGAAAAGAAAAAATAGAACACATTAGAAAGAAACAATGGGCGTCTAGACTAAGAGCGCTCATAGTTATGGCAGATTTACATTACGAGAAAACTTTGAAAGCAAAATATGGAATTCGGCCTTTCCGAATACTGATAGAAATGAAGCGGGACAACATAGAAAAAGCAAAGGCCCATTACATTTTTCAACTTAAAAATAACACTTTTTTGCATTGGTTGTGGTATACTGAAGATATGTGGATAGAAAGAAATTTCAAAGCAGAAAACTTTTGGCGTAAAAAACTGTTAGGAAAAGCATTTCAAGCCTTTAAAAGGGTAAGTATCATATTTACTATGTACGACCGTTGTATTGTAGTTGATATGTAGGTTGTCGGTTAACAAAGAAGATAGGTAAGTAACTAAGTGCTTCGGTATTCTTGTAGGTACCCTTTCCTTACACTTGTCGAAAAAAATGATCTGTAGGTATATCCTTTCTTGGGAAAAGGACTTCATGAGGATCTTTCAACTCGAGACATAAAATGTAGGTCCAATGAAGTTTGTTTTATTATATAGTAGGTATTTTTATTTTAGGTTCTGGTGATTGATTTACAAACTTATTTTATTCATTCAGAATCATCACGGGCTCGTTTTGAAGAAACAAGTGGCTGATGACTATTACGATTTGTATCTAACACAGATGGCATTCAGGATGTTCCGTGAAGGAATTAATGTGATTAGAAAGGAAAATGAGACTAAATGGCAAATAGCTGTCTTATATCACAGCAGGTAAGTCTTTATACTTAATAATTTTCACGTAAGTAAATAGTATTATGTACTTTAAAAGTTGCACTTTAAAAGTGCCTCTGTATACTGGTTGTAGCAGTCTCAATGACTTAAATTATTTTGAAACAATTTTTAATGAACTTGGTAATACTGAATACAGTTTAATCTTGTAAATGTTCGACAACGGACGCGGCGAACCCCGGAGTTGCTGCACATAATTATAAGCACCGGTCTTGGGTTGAAACTGACCGACTACATAAGCAGGCTATGTTATTTTAAGTAAATACGTGAATTGTGGTTATTTTTTGTTATAGCAACCTTCTCTTTAGAACATTTACGTGTTGGAGAACGCTACCAGCTTTGAATGCACTGAAAAGGGAACAGGAAGCACGGAAAGCAAGATGGCGAGAGAAAGTATTGCAAGTTGTACCTGACTACACGCCACCTGAAGATTAATAACAATTGGAATTTTACATTTCTTTTTTTAAGTACTAATGTATATTTAGCCTAATGGCGAACAAACGAATCTCATGAACTGGACCAGTGCACCTGTCTGCAGTCTAGACGAGTCAACAATGAACCAACGAAAAAAAAGCGACCGCTAAATCACATCGATCGTAGTCTAGAGATATTTACTTATTAATTTTAGTTAGTCTTGTAAGTAATTTATCTTTCATTGTATGTAAGTTTCAGTTCATGTTCACTTTTGGCGTTTAAGCACAATATACAGGTTTTATACCATAAACCCTAGTTTATTATAATTTTAAATGCACATTGGATTCCAAAATCTAAAGCTAAAATAAAAAATATTCAGTAGTTGTACAATTTAATTTATTTCAATTAAATAGGTACTTAACATATTTTCTTAAATCGAGAATCACATAATTTTTAGTTAGGTATATTTAGAATTTCCAATTAATAAACAAATAGATGATTAAAAGCTTCTACACTGCGCAGATTTCCATACAAATTATCAATTTCAGAATCATGGAAACTTAACTCGTACTCAACGGTACAACTGATTCTAATGAAACTTGGTAGGTACCTTCGGCAAAGTTTACAGTAGGTAAGTACATCTTTTAAACAAAATCCTGAGGCAAACTTGCTATTCAATCCACCGCCTTGTTTTCCTTGTTGTGGCTCGTGCCGTTTGCAAAATATCGTGAATATGATTGTCGACCGCCAACTTTGCCGATTGTACCTCTTCACTCACACGCAACAGGTGTATCAAGGTCTCAAAATGTTGTTATTGATACGATAAGCCGCGGAGAACCTAACAGGTTACCGGGGCACCGTCTCGAAGTGCAGGAGTAGGAACGGGGTGGTTTGTTAGTCAGTAAGAGTCTGACACTCCCTTGCGCCTCACCCAGGCGGGAGAAATCTGCCTCTCAACATTGCCTCTCTCTGACTCTCTATACACTTTTTCGTTAACGTTTACAATTCACTTTTCAGGCCTTTATACGTTGTATGAGTGCCAAGTTTTATTAAAATCGGTTAAGTGTAAATGATGTGCTTAGAAACATTACTTTTGTGTGAAACCTGTTTGAAAAACTTGTGTGGAATGTTTGTGCGAAATACAACTTGCGATTAAACTGTCGATCATAAAAATAAGAATACACCAGGGTCCATTCATAATAACGCAGAATCTTAAACGTCACAGCGAATTCAAACCTTATCTCTGCAAATTATTGCAACTATCCCTTGAAAAAGAAGACGCTTTAGAACATTTTTCGATGAACCTTAGCTATATTCCTTATATGTATAGATTCGGCATTATTATGAAATGAACGGTAAATAAGAAATACATTTTACAGTGAGGGGTTTGGATTGAATTATTAGAAAAAAATATATGGTATATTAACCATTATGTACAATAATATAACAAATCAACAAATGTTGTTTTAACACAATTTCTTCATCCTTCTTATTAACCTGTTCTGCTCATCTAGTATCCAAGAGCAGAACGAAAATTAATGAGGTAATATTACCAATAATTAGGTACGAGTACACTAAATTGATCAAATTATACATACAGTACAGTAGTACATATTTATATGTAAGGTATATAAAAATATTTTACAAAGAAAGTCTATTATGTATGTACCTATTGAAATAATAATTACAACATAAAATAATCGAGTACGATATGTTTTTTTTATTTATTGAAATGGTATAATAACTTAGTTCAGGAAATTACCTTTGGAATTTCCAAGGGAGAAATGATTTTAAAAATCGGTCTTACGATTCTATAGCTAAAATAAATACTTAAATTAAATGCATTCATTTTGCAGAATTAATTCACAATCAATCTTAAAATGAATGCGTACAACTGAGACACTAAAGCGCGTTTAAATGATACAACATAAGTACAACTCAAGACATCCATGTTTTCCTTCATACATTGAGCACATTGACTAGTTTTTTCCATTGTGGTTCTGTAACAAAACATTGTAAAAATGTAATTTAAATAAATAGCTTTCTTCTCTCGTTCTTCTTCTTCGCTGAAGAAACGTGCGTTGAGTGGTCGTAAGCGGGACTGTTAAACGTGGTCTGTTACAGTTATGACTTACTATTATGTTTTTCCTGGTTCATTTAAAGGTTTATCGAACAATTTAAATATTAGTACAACGGAGTAGGTGTGGCCAGTTATAGCAATAGGCTTTTTAAGAATATTATTTCATAAGTTAAGTAGGAAAACTGTCGCATTACGGTGATCTGTAAGTGACTGTAAGAGTAGAAATAAATAAAAGATTGTACTTACCGCTGTATTTTGGCAGGTAGACTATCAGTTGTCGAATTAAGACCACGGCAATGACTAATGCATATCCTAATGCATAGACACAGGCAACGAAGGATATCGACATGCTGGAGAAAACATTCAGAAGTTAGTATCCCATTCCCATTCCCAACTGCATTTATTCATTGGTTTTAAAAGAATGTCTAGAAATCTACACATCTATTAGTTTAGTTTCATCTTGGCATCCAACGACGTACGCGTAAGTTTTAAAACAGTGATAAAATAATTAGAATACCTACTCAGGTTAAGATAGGTCAGTAGTTCGGTACCCAAGTAACGCCATGATCGGTCTGAACGGAATGTACAATTGTTTTTCAGTCTATGCTATAGTTTTACTTTTATATGAATGTGAGGGGCCAAAAAATTTAGATGTGTAGTATAATGATATTAGGTTGGTGGTGGGTTGCTTGCGCCATTTAAGTCTTACAGTTTTGGGAAACTGAACAGGAACCGAAATTGATTACTTTTATATTATAACTTTCGTAACATGTACTAAATTATTATTATGTTGAAATTAATTGTGACAAGAGCCAGGCCATCCTAATCTTAAAGGCATACTTTCGATAATTTCTCACAAACCATATGAGATATTATGTTTACTTACTTGAAGTCATAGTAAATATCTTCACAATCAAGAGGCATGAGAATTGGTTCATAAAGTATGAAGGGTTGACAAACTGTTGTTAGACCCAAGTTGGTTCCAAGCAGGAGTGTGGCAAAAGCAAATATATGACCAGCAAGGAAGTGAATATAGTTAGGTCTTAGTACACAGCAGTCCCACCTGGAAAATAACATAACAATTTTTAAACTACTTATTTAATAGGAGGTTGTCAGATTTAACAGCCAAAGATCATAAACAGCTGTGGTCACCAAACCGCTTGTCGCTGTCATGGCGGTTAATGGCTGTTTCCTTAAAATGACTTGCTAGTCATAGACTAGTATTAGTATAGACTAATCATTAGTCAACAATTAATAACAAAATAGCGTTAACATAAATAAATTCACATTATAAGTTATTCATTGTTTAATTATGATAATGAATGAAAGATGTGCAGTAACAGTGATGATTTGTGCAGTGTAATTATTTTTTTCTAGCTGTGCCCGCGACTTCTCATGTAATAGTGACTGGATTATTGTTCACAGCTCCTCCTTATAATTATGTGATAGATAATAATTATGTAGCCTACATTTTGACTCAACCTGTTAGTACTATTCATGCAAATTTTGAAGTAAATCCATGCAGTAGTTTTTGAGTTTAGCCCAGATATACTTACAGACAAAAATACTAATAACTATAATTTTGCTTCAATATCGAATGCAGATCACACCCCAAGTATTCTTAAAAAAAATATTCAATGTACAGTTTCGAATTTTTCATTTCAGCTTTGTCATTTTGATGATTTTATTATATTATGTATATGAATAGTTAAAATAATACACTTACCATATTGAATGGAAGAATCTCTCATTCACTTCAATTTGACATATTTGACAATAATGAGAATCTGAAGTCAAAACTGGGCTAAAATTAAATAGAAACATAAGTACTTAATACAATACAATAAATCAATTTATGTGAATGTTAATTAATTTCATTAAAAAATATATAAAACCTGATACCTGTACTCCTTTCCTTTGGTTCCAGTTCCAGTCAGTTCATATTCAGCAATTATTTTCATTTTGTAGAAGAAATATAAAGTACATGCCAAAAGTACTAGGAATATAAAATTTTCCAACATTGTTATTTCAAAGAAACCCAAAATACCATTCTCAAATATTAGGAACAAACAAACTGCAGATGATAATGTCCATGAGAAGAAAAATGAGGATCTGTAAACAAACAAACAAAAATGTACCATTGTATTTCTTATTATATTTCCCAATTTAATTTTCTAAAGTAACTATGTAGGTACTTAAACATTACAAATTGTTTTTCATTTATTTGATATTTCATAGACTGACATAATATCAATGAATCATTATTAGCGCGTTATCAGTTTATTATACTGAACAGAAATCTCAAATTATATACTTAAGTTAATAAATAATCTTCATGTAGATGTTAAGTTAAAGATATGGTAACAAAATATTTCGTTCAGTGTAGAAAAAAAAATTCTAAGCGAATATTAATCTATAAAGTGAAAGTAGAGAATGTACCTGTTTTTCTGTCGCGGTCTGGACTGTACGTATAAAGCACCCATGGCAATCACTACCATAACTGTAATAGTGACTGTACGTGATATTGTAGCTATTAGCAATAATCCCGGTACAATAAAATAAGGTAAAATAGCATCCACATCAATCTTTTTACCGCTTGTTTTTGTTGATCCTGGTACTAGATCTTGAATACTGAATTTAGTTAGCGATGTGTACACCATTGTAACTGTTTATTGTATATCAATAAATTAATTTCGTCAATGATTGTAATCGTTTCAGTATCGTTCGTATTGGCTTTTAATTTTAAATAGTAATCGTTTAATTACATCGTTATTTTCACATTTATTTGACGAAGGGAAGTACGAGCTTCCAATCCACACTACACATTTCCACAACAATGCTCATAATCAAAATCAACATGTCACTGTCACTGTCACTGCCAAGCCAACGGGCAACGAGTTCAGCGAGTTTTAATTTTTAATAAGAATATGTTTTGGGTTCCGGTCTTTTTGGACTTAAAAAGATAATATAAAATTAAGGACGATTTCTTATTTTGACATGTGGATACAATAAATACATACGTATTCGAAACTTGGACCTCACCCTCATAGAATAGGTATCGTTATGAAGTAATGACGTAATTTTGCTGCCATTTATTTGGTGATTGGTGAAGGTGGTCTTTTTCCTGTACTTACTTCCTACATCTATTTTCAGAGACATCAGAGAGGAAGAGGAGGTCCTTGAAAATAAAAGTTACCTTTTTTTTCCTACATGGTCCGCCACGCCTCTGAGGTTGCTATACTTTGGTAATCATGATGACCCCTTAACATCAGGCGTACCATACGTTAAGTTGCTACCCTTACCCATTGTAGAACCTTCAGAGAAAATGGTTGGACCATGAATTACCTCCTGTGAGGACATTTCCCAAGAGTTATGAATTTCCCTGAGTAGGTACTACTTTAAGATTTTGTGTTATGTGTAAGCTGGAACTTTAGGTTACTAACTCCTGAGATAGATAATATTCAATTAGGATAAATGGTTAGTAGCCACGGAACAGAAAAAATAGGTACCTAGTAGCTATCTTATCCATAGCGTTCCCTAAATTTTAGGTGAACTAACTGCGATCAAGGTTGTTATCATGCACCTTCTATGTGGGAGGCGTATGTTTAGTATTGAACGGCTTCCGGATGGTGATGATGATTATGATGATAATGGCGATGATGATGATGTTGGGGATGATGATTATGATAAAGATGACATCGGTATCTACACGGTATCTACAACAAATACCCACAGTAAGTACATAATGTGTATTATGTTGTATTGCAGTTCTTATCACTAAATCAATAATATCTGTCATCATTCGTATCTTTTAATGGAAATAATTGCTTAAGATTTTCATTATTTAATAATAACATTAATATGTTAAAATGTAATGAAATAGTCATTGTAAGAATTATGGCATTGCTACAAACCCATGTCCTTATAGTAGTTGGCCAGCCAGGGGTCGCGGCATCCGACACACATGCGCCGTGTCAGTCAACAACAGATTGCGCGCGCACGCGTAACCAACGCTGTGTTTTTTACCTTATCCGCCGGTAACGACACACCGACCGACAGTATTGATCGGGTGTTCGCCACGAAACGGCGTCTCGAAAATGCGACACGATTTTTTCCGCGCTTAGCCAGTGTTTCGAAGACAAATTGTAAACCCGATGCGTTAAATACGCCAAATATGGAAAAGTGAAAAAAGGTGTTAAGAGTGATAGATCTGCAAGGTTGACGAAATGTCCAAGGTAAGCCTTATCGTATTAAGCCATTGTTAGAACTTGGACGATGGTGGTGCGGGTGGGTAGCTGCAAAAATCACTGCCAAGGACGTTTCATGTACTAAAATTGGTGGGTAATTGTAGCCTTTACTGACGTTAGATATAATTAACAATAATTAATATACATTCTAATCCACGTAATGCCCCTCATTGTAAGTTTTTAATTCGCTATTTTCTAATCAACCAAGTTTACTGTACCATTTCCAATTTTCCATACCTACCTACTAACTGCACGAATACCATTGAGTTATCGGAAAAAATATTAACGTCTTCGATAACTCGATGAAATAACAGATTATAACCGCAACCCCGTTTGTTCTACATTATTACGACTAGCTGCAATTATATTGAGGTCTACATGTTGGATACGTACGAAGATTCTACATGTCTAGAGGACTTACTTGTGAGGATGTTTATATTTATAAGGTTTCTAGAGTTTCTAGTTAGTTTATTTTTTTATTCGCAATATCAAAGTAAATATTAGAGGTAGTTGATGGCGTCGTTTCATTCACATTCAGGCCTTTAATGATAAATTTTTTAGTCTTCCTTGTAGCGTGACTAATCATCTAATGTGAATTTTTTACCAACCTAAAGTACTATACTATCTTTACTATTTTTATCAATTTGTACGAAATTGTGCTCTGATTTAACGTTATTAATTGATAGCGATGATAGTTGTGTAAGTACACAAACAATTTATACACCTATTTTAATTTACGACAGCAAACTTGTTTAGGGTAGAACAGTATCCGGTTTTAGTTCTCGATTTAGTATTATATCTTTTTACAAAATATCATACGATACTCAAAAGACCTGAGTACTGCAGTGTTGGACCGATTTGGTGACCGTTCTCATGTCGTAGCCGGTTTTTCAGAGCCTGTTTTGTTCGCCATCTTCGCCATGGCTTGTAATCATGTCAGTTTTTTTCTTAGCTCCTTGTAAGGCTTCAGTTATTATTAAAAAGGTTTTTACAATACATTTGCTATAAAATAAAATATTTTTTGTGTAAAGTGCCTTAAATCTACTTAGTACTTTATAGGAATGGTTAGAACTCTTTCCATCGCAGACCTCGCTTGTTTTAAAAATTCACTCAATTATGTATTTCTAGCGGTTGCTAGTATCCACCATATGTTTTAATTCTCAACATCTATTACTATGGCGTTTTTATGATTCAATGAGATCATACCTAGCTTCGTTATTCCATCCGCAAAGTTCTTAATTAAATTAAACTGCTTGCAAATTGAAGCAGTTAATCAATTTAAGGTGCTACCTTTGTACCCTGGTGAACAATATTGCGTTGTGCGCAATCTTCTATTGTCATCGTTTCATTTAGATGTAGGGTCAACTGTCTGCTTCATACAACGTACAATACTTTGCTCCCCTAATCGCAGCTTACGTCATGCAAAAGTTAACCACAGGTCGTTGACAGTACAACGTCAGATTTTTTGCCCACAACTAAATCGATGGATGCTGCCTTCGAAACATGTAGCTGTAGCTGTACAATAATTATTTGCTTTAGACCGATTTTAGCGAGTTAAATGTGTATTTCTTTGAAATCGGAGGATGTTACGATGATTTCCGCCTAGAAAAAAGATTCCGTGTGCAATGTTACCTTATAATTGCACACTGTTTACAGTTTCAGTAGTATAATAAGTTACTTCCTAACAGGAAGAAAATGAAATTTGTGGTGTCAATGGATATTAGGATATTGGTCAATATATAACTGGCACTTCTACTGTGTGGATCGTAACGATTGCAATTGCAGACATTTATTGACTATCAAATGCTTCAGACCGCTCTCGATGTTCCGTAGAAAGCTATCGTGGCTGAAGTATCAAATTGTAAACTGCTTTCATTGCACCACGAATACTAGAAATTGGTTGCACTCACGAAATGGTTTTGGGTACGAACCTAGAAAAAAGGAATACTTGGTACGACCAATCAATAATTCCCAATGAATTATGTATTGTGAGCTGGTTTTTGAACAATTGAGTGCACGGGCAATCAAAAAACCTTGGGTAAATAATGTTTATAATCAAGAACGAGACTATAAACCGGTACAATATTATTATTTTAGACGTATCGTATGGTATCGCGTCGGGTCGGTAAGTATGGATTGCACGTTTCAGCAGTTGCGTTGCAGTATTGGCAAACGTCAATAATTTATTAACGTTTTTACTAAGTTTGTTAACAGTGATACGAGGGAAAGTGTAGCGCTGCCGTGTGAGCTACTACTGCACTTTCGGATTCCAAAAATTGTAAATACTTTCTTTGAGTTCTCAGAACCTACACGCCTAAGAGTACATGTTCTTGTTAAAAGTTAAGAAAAGGCTACTATTTCAAACATTTCCGACAACTTAACGTATTTATTAACGCAATTTAACTTACCAAAGTTGTCTTATGTATGACCTACATTTGTATTTTTGGTATGGTAATATTTGTTCTGTTCGAAATCGAAAACCTATTCTTTTGAGTTTTATCATTAGGTACCAGAATTTCGTTCCCTGAAACTTATGATACGTAGCCGTTACGTAAGGATGTATCTGTACTCGTAGTACAGTTGTTGTTATCGTAGTCGTTATAGTCGTGTTGTAGGTGTCGTAGATGTCGTAGTCGTTGTCGTAATCTTCGTAGGCGTCGTAGTCGATGTCGTAGTCGTTGTAGTAGTCGTAGGTGTCGTATCATCGTAGTCGTTGTAGACATTGTAGTCATCGTCGAAGCCTTCGTAGGCATCGTAGATGTCGTAATCACCTTTGTAGTTGTCGTTGTAGGTGTTGTAGTCGTCGTGAAGGTCGTAGTAATCATAGTCGTGATCGTAATCTTCGCAGGTGTCGTAGATATCGTAGATGTGTTTAGTATTCGTAAGCGTCGCGTCGTAGACATTGTAGTCGCCGTCGTGGGCGTCGTAGAAGTCGTCGTAGTACTCGTAATCTTCGTCGTGTCATAATATCATTAAAACTTTTCACCATTATACATTGGTATGGAAGAGCGTCAACAATCGTTAAAGATTACCATGTACAAGGTCTTCGGACAGATTTTAGTGTAGAAACAGAATTTATTACTTAGAAATTAAAATCTTTCTTTTAATCTGTCAAACACCAAGCGGTCACCGGTGACCGCGACCCATTGTTCTTTAATTGTGTCTATAAAACCGGTACTCGACGAGTTAAATAACAATTCAAATCTATGAAATCAATTAACCGTGCCTTATTATAATTTTATAGTTTTAGACAGTTTCCAAGGTATAATTTGAGAGGAGTTAAAATGGCAATAAAACACCGAAGAATTTCTTAAGCACGTTAATCTTGCAGTATCAGCAATTTAAATCTCTTAACATCACACAGGCCTTGGCGAGACGCCACTGACCTTTCGTTTCTTTTTTTATGTCTATGG